AAGCAACTAAACACGAAACGCTTTCCGAATTGAAATTAATGCATTTTTGACAAAGTTATGCGATTTTTAAACCTCGACTGTCCCAAAAAATGTGATGTAAAAAATCGTGTTAAAAAAAATTATCGAATAAAAATTGCAATTTCAGGAATCTTGCAGAGGAAAAATATAATTTTAACAGTGAAGGAGCCATTTCCGACCCTATAAATCATATATATTCTTGATCAGCATTAACAGACGCATCGTTCTGGCCATCTCAGGTAGCAAAACAGACATTTTCAATTTTTGAAAAAATTCAAGGGTTGCATCGCAAAAATCTAAAAAAAAAATGGATCTCCTAAAAAGTTAAATGTAGTATGCAGATTTTAAGCGCGAAGCAACTAACACAGAAACGCTTTCCGAATTGAAATTAATGCATTTTGACAAAGTTATGCGATTTTTAAACCTCGGCTGTCCCAAAAATGTGATGTAAAAAAATCGTGTTAAAAAAAAATTATCGAATAAAAATTGCAATTTCAGGAATCTTGCAGAGGAAAATATAATTTTTAACAGTGAAGGAGCCATTTCCGACCCTATAAATCATATATATTCTTGATCAGCATTAACAGACGCATCGTTCTGGCCATCTCAGGTAGCAAAACAGACATTTTCAATTTTTGAAAAAAATTCAAGGGGTTGCATCGCAAAAATCTAAAAAAAAAAATGGATCTCCTAAAAGTTAATGTAGTATGCAGATTTGTTAGCGCGAAGCAACTAACACAGGAACGCTTTCCGAATTGAAATTAATGCATTTTGACAAAGTTATGCGATTTTTAAACCTTGGTTGTCCCAAAAAATGTAATGTAAAAAAATCGTGTTAAAAAAAAATTATCGAATAAAAATTGCAATTTCAGGAATCTTGCAGAGGAAAATATAATTTTTAACAGTGAAGGAGCCATTCCGACCCTATAAATCATATATTATTCTTGATCAGCATTAACAGACGCATCGTTCTGGCATCTCAGGTAGCAAAACAGACATTTTCAATTTTTTGAAAAAAATTAAAGGGGTTGCATCGCAAAAATCTAAAAAAAAATTGGATCTCCTAAAAAGTTAAATGTAGTATGCAGATTGTTTAACGCGAAACAACTAACACAGGAACGCTTTCCGAATTGAAATTAATGCATTTTTGACTAAGTTATGCGATTTTTAAACCTCGACTGTCCCAAAAAATGTGAAGTAAAAAAATCGTGTTAAAAAAAAATTATCGAATAAAATTGCAATTTCAGGAATCTTGCAGAGGAAAATATAATTTTTAACAGTGAAGGAGCCATTTCCGACCCTATAAATCATATATATTCTTGATCAGCATTAACAGACGCATCGTTCTGGCCATCTAGGTAGCAAAACAGACATTTTCAATTTTTGAAAAAATCAAGGGGTGCATCGCAAAAATCTAAAAAAAAATTGGATCTCCTAAAAAGTTAAATGTAGTATGCAGATTTGTTAAACGCGAAGCAACTAACACAGGAACGCTTTCCGAATTGAAATTAATGTATTTTTGACAAAGTTATGCGATAATGAACAAATTGTTTATCTTTTATAATTAAAGAAATCAAACATTCAATAATAAATCAATTTGTAAAACCAAGAACGCGTTTTAGTTATCCTTGCCTCATTCCCTGCTACGGTAAGCTTCTAAGCAAGGCATTTCATCAAGTAGATTTGGTTAGAGCTGTGTGCAGGTTCACAACCATGTCCTTGGACTTTACGGAGAGCATTGTCCTTGCTACCTTATATACTTAAAGCTTGCAGAGCTTTCGGATTCAAAGGAGTTTTCTTCTCCACCATTATAAAATTTTATTTGTCTTTAATGTTAGTGATATGAGGATATTGAAGCATATCTTTGGATCATATTATTATTTATAAAAGTAGATTTCTTTAGACCTTTCATCGGAAAATTAAACAGCGTAGAATTGTTTTGTTTTTAGAAAAGGATTCATGTTTATTCATACATATTCATATTTATATGGTTTGTTGTGTGGGAATCGATCGTCGGCGAGGATCCGCTCCTCCTTGTGTCCTGTGTGTAGAGAAATGTGTGTGTGTGAGTGTGTTGTGTAGACTTGGACTGGAGTGGAGAGCTGGCTGTGAGTACATCCTTTTTGGGGGTTGGGTGTTAGGGGTTAAGGTAACAATTAGATGGGTCTTAGCGTTATCTGAATCTTATATTGATTAAGGTTTCGGTTTCTGTATATATATATATACTTATATATATAACTAGCTGTACTTTCTTTTCTCTTGTTTTCCTGTTATTTCTCCTGCTCTATTTCCGTTCTGTATTTATTTATTTAATGTTTCCATCTGTATTTTGTATTGCTAATACTCGGTCGCTGCGCTTCTACTTGCTAGTGTAAAGGTTCTCCTGCTCATTTGCCTGCATTCTGCCGAAACAACAATCTTTGTAAGCATATAAGTTTTATATATAGTATATATAATGTATATATAATCTATATAATCGCACGTAAAATAGTCAAAATGGTTACAAAATGGGTACCGAGAGTACGAGTACGAGTAGGTGGCGACATTCTGTTACCCCGTTTTTCGTGTTCGTTTTTCGTTTTGCTTTCGTGTATAAATTAGTATCTATTTAAAAATTATATACATTCATGTACTTAACATATCCTCGTCTCTAAATATTATATCAAGCCAGTGTTGTTTTGTGTCTGTACAAAAAACGTCGCCGGTTAGGTAATTCGCTCAACACCTGATCATCTTTCCCTCAACTTTGCTTTCCTCTCTTCTCATTTTGCTGTTTCTTTCTTTCTTTTTTTTTGAGTGTGCAAGTTCACATAAATTCAGTCGTGATTAAATTTGTTTTCCTTAGTTTTTCTCTCTTAATTCATTTCCTCATTAAAGTTGATATCCTTTTGGTTTTGCATTTGCTTTAAATCTTAAATAAAGCTCAAGGTAGGTAAAAACCGGGCCTACACAACGCATACACACGCAAACACACACACACTCACGCATGTACTACAATTAGCAAGGGGACGGGGGATGGGGCATGGGGCATGGGGCATGGGGCATTTGGGGCATGTTGTTGCTCTAGACCCCTTTTCTCGGACATGTGTGTAAATGCAGCTTAAACCAAGGGGGCATTGCGTCTAGTTTATGTTTATTGTAAGCACGTTAAAACTACTAAGACTAAGCCTACAAAAACACTTGTTTTTTTTCCCGTTTACGGTGTATATATGTATATCCGCTAGCTTATTGTACATCGCCCCAAGCAGCTGAGCTACCGCTTCAGCGGAGGATCGCCAAAGGAAACCCCTTAAAAGCGATGCTCAGAAGCTGACAAAGCGGGGGAGCTGGTTTCTAGCTTGGTTCCAGTTGGTTCTCACGTCTCTCTCGGGTTGAACACATGCAAGCACACACACACTGCACACACACACACACACACACACACACACACACACACACACACACACACACACACACACACACACACACACACACACACACACACACACCAATCTACACTCTACCACACACGCACACGAAAGAGAGAGAATCGCAGTGAATAGCTGTTAACTTAGTCTCGAATGCAAATTGAAGCGTGTCGATGGTCTACCCCCAAGGATAACCGATGATGCTTTGAGCCTGAACTGATCTCGTGTGTGGTGTGTATCCAGTATGTGAAGGTGTTGGTAATGGGTGCTCCTGCTCCTGCTGCTGCTGTCTGCTGTGCTGAGGCTGAGGCTGTGACTGTGGCTAGTTTCCTAGTTTCCTTGGCTGCTCTTCCAATTGGTGTTTTGTTTTCTTTTTTTTGGGTTTGAGTTGGGTTTATAGGTTTTGTGGTTTGTGGTTTCTGGTTACTTTCTTGATGATGGTTAGCTCTCGTTCTCAGTTTTTTTTATCTCAGGGGTTCTGCTTAAATTCCAAGACTGCAATTAAACAGAGAGGGCGTGAGCACAGGAGAGAAAGAAAGGGAGATAGAGTCAGTGGAAGGAGTTGAACTTAGACTTAGGTTCTTCTATATCTCTAGATCCTATATACAAGTCTCTACGTCCAAGTATTTTGTGCGTTTCTAGTAAAGCGGCGACTCTGTCGTCGCCGTCTGGTAAGTACACGGATATGCCTCTTCTCTTCCTCGCATATAGAGTACCATAAAGTACAGAGTAATACAGAGTTTTCTCTAGCTTTTGTTTTTGCTTACATTCGCGATCCCTTTTGCTGCAGGACCTTGGCTCGATCGTTAAGCTCTAGCTCACGGCCGGCCGTTGTGCCGCATTCCTTGGAGACCACGCAGAGGAACTCATTGTTTTCAAAGGGCCCATAATTGCTATACTGCATGCTGATCAGTTGCTCGAAACGCCAGCCATCCGAGAGCGTTGAGATCATCTGCAAAGCAAGGAGAAAATGATATTAAACTGAAGCTTTTGGGAATTCCACTCACTTACCTGGGTCAGTTCCTGTTCGCGACACTGCAGCACACGATACACACGCTTCTTGTCCGCGTGTGGTCGCTAAAAAGGCAAGCGAGAAGCTTTATTCAGATCTCGAAATGGTGTAAATTGTAGCCATACCTGATCCCTGTGATGGATGCACTCCTTTAGCAGGGCTATCAGCTGTGTCACATTGTAAAATTCGGCCTCCTCGAGCACTCCCTCCTCGGAGACGCCATCCAGTACGAGTTTGCCATGGCGCAGATAGTTGAGAACGGGCGCAAAGTATTTAGGATCCCGGTCGATCAGATAGGCGCCAGTCTCGTCCTTGAAAAGGATTCCGAAATTAGTCACTGCGTATCCGCAACCACCCCACGCAACTATTGGCAATGTGTCAGTCTTGAGTAATGCCGAGTGTAACCGCTCGGCGGTCGCTGCACATGCAATTGTTTACGTGGGCACCCGACTGTCTGGCTGTCCATCAGTTGGAATAAAAACAACAGCTTCCTCCATACCCCCCCCCCCCACACACACACAGCCACAGCCACAGCCATTCCCCCATCGTAGTGAACGACAGACTGCTGCCCATGCCTGGTTTGTTTTCGGTCTTCCAACAATTTAAGCGCCCATTTAGGCAAAGGTAATCGGCTGAAGGTGGCTGTTTATGTGGTCGGGGTTCGAGCTGCCTTAATTGGTGGGTGTGCGTGGAGCAGCACCAGCAGCAGCAGCAGCCCGGGCACAGAATTTAATCAATAGCAAGAGTAGGAGGAGGAGGTGGAGCAGGAGAAGGCGGAGCCGGGTTAGAGGCAATAGCTGAACCAAAAGTGCAAAAACTTTTTATTGAAAACTATTCAGCGAGTGGAGGAGGAGGTGGAGGAGGAGGAGAAGGAGACGAAGGCAGCATTGGGTGGGCTGGCTATGCGAGGAGGTTGAGTTGTTTACACAAAAATGGAATATTAGCTTTTGGAATTCCGCTTTTCCGCTTGCTTCCATTGGCAATGCCGCGGTTTCGGATTTATGGCATAAAATGTTTTGCTTGTGATTAGTGTCATGATGATTATTTTGGTCGCGTGACCTTCTGGCCATCGCCCAACGCCCCCACTAGGCGGCCCCAAGGACTCGACGGAATCAGGGCACTGCTGCTGCTGCTGCTGCTGCTTCTAGTGCTGCAGTTAATGTGGGACACGCTCTGCTCTGCTCTGCTCTCTCTCTCTTTCTCTATTAGTGGCTAGCGCTCTCTGGCCCAGAAAAGACTGTGACCTGCATGGGGTCACTCCGGGGCCCCAACTCCAGCAGGAGAGTATAGAAGTAAAGAGAGCTTAGAAACTCACCCGATCTGAATTCAAATCGCTGTCCTCCTGAATCAGGCGGGATAGAAACGAATTTGGGTCACGGGACAGCGTCGTCTTTGTGGTAAGGAAGTAGGTGCCACCCACGTTCAGCTTGACCCACTGGTCGGTGCCCTGCTTTTTTAGCACATTGGGGCTCTTCCGTGAGTTGATGAACACGGTGCTCATGTTGGGGCTGCTGCTTAAAGTGTCCAGTTCTTGGGCTTTTTTTTTCCTGCACCTGGCAGCTTCTCCTCTGGCGCTGCTGCTGCTGCTGCTGCTACTTCCTCTGCCTCTGCGCCTCTGCCCTTCTAGCTGCACCTGCTGCTGCTGCTGCTGCTGCTGCCTCCAGATCCCTTGGCGGACTGGGTTTCGCTCTACAGCTTCTGGTTTTGATTCCGTTTAAGCCCAGCTCAGTCTTCAGCGCTTCATGCTCTTCTGCGTTCGCGTCTTTGTTGCGTTGTATGTTTTTTATTTTTTTGTTGTCTGGCCTCTGCCTGGGTCGCTGTCGCTGCCTCTGCCGCTGCTCTGCCTCTGCTGACGCGTAGGTGCGCTACTGCTGCCACTTCCGCTGCTTGCCTGCACTGCTGCACCGTTCACGTTTCACTGCTGCACACAATTAGTTCACAGAAAATAAAGAAAAACTCGGTCCCGGCCACCAAGTGTAATTTAAGTTTTTTTTTTTTGTCGAAAAGAGCAATTTAGTGTGACAGACAACCGAGTGTGACCGCAGTCGAGATGAGATAAAAACGCCAGAGCTTGCTTACCTCAATAGGTTCAAGACCTTGATAGAGGTGCGAAACTCTGCTAATCGAACAGACTCTCGATAAATCAAAGCCTGGCATTTATCGATAGTTTGCTAACATACAAAAGCTGAGAGCTATTGAGTACAGCGCCAATTTTAAACATTGAATTTAAACGTGGCTTAGACTTAGCTTAACCACAGCTCTTCTTGGTAGTTGCTGATTGGCTCTTGGACAGTGCAGACGATCGCCATGGACATTCTCCCTGTAGCATTGCTTCTCCTCATGGCCTGTGCCAGCGTCATGGCATCGCCCATGGTCTACAAACTGAATCCCGAGGAGAAATACGAGGCTGGTGGGTAACCCAAGCGATTGGTTAACAAGTAAAAACCTTTTAACATTGCTTCTCCCTACTGTTCCCAGACCTAGTGGCCGTCTCCTCTACGGTGATCCCCCTGACCGTCCTGGAGGTAAGCTATGGCGCCGGCGGCAAGCCCAGCGAGGAGTACAAGGCCGCCTACCTGCGCAAGCTACGCAAACAGGTGCTCCAGCGGGCGGACAAGCAGCAGCAGCAGCAGCAGCAGCAGCAGGAGGAGGAGGGTGCCCCCACTTTGGTGGGTCACTCCCAAGCCGCCGCTGTGGATGCCGATGCTTTGATCACAGGTGAGTCTTGCTCAGTTAATCATCAAAACACCAAACTCCAAGACTATCCTGGCCTTGCAGTTAAGTCGCAACTGGAGAGGGCCAAAGTCAAGGCCGTTTGAGGCAGAGGCGGACCGGACTTGAAGACCGTGGAGTATAGCTGATGTCATGGCACTTTTTTTTTTGAATAAAACAACTAACAAGCGAATCTTGTTTTCGTCTTCAACTTGGGCCTAATTGGGCCGTATGTGTGTGGGCGTGGCGTTGGCTAGATGGATGACGCAGCTTTTGCCGGTGGCTAAAGATTAGCCAGAGATGGAGACACGCAGGAAGCTTTTGCTCAAAGCGGAAGGATGTCTGCTGTCAACGCAATCGAATCAAACCTAATGAGGCACCGGACAAGGAACTGGAAAACTGGGGAGAGAGTTAGGAGGCTAACGATAACGATGATAACGATGATAACGATGATGATGATGATGATGGGATAACCTGCGCAGCTGCTGGGGGACTTGGCCCTGGACAGAGGCTACATTAAATCAGAGCCAGCAAAAGGAAAGTCCATCAAAGTAGGCTTCTTTGGGTGTGTGTGTGTGTGTTTGTGATAGGAATGTGTGCCAGTCAATGCTTTTTTATACACATCCTGCTCCTCTCTAACATCCTTTTGCCTGTTAGAGACTCGGACTCAGGTGGGAATTTTCTTTTCCTTTTCTCTGTTGCTTCCCCTGAGTCCTGTCCCTGTCCCTGTCCTGTGCTTCTTTGCTATCTCTTTGTGGCGCCGCTTTGTGTGTCGAGCCGTCAATGCAGCTGTCACAGGCAAGTCACAAGTTGCATGGCCATTGCAGGCAAAGCGGCGTGTCATAACCAGGTGACATACCACCCACCCACCCACCTGGCACCTACCTATACCTATACCCATTCTTTTCCACCCTTGCCACGGCTGATTAAGCCCGGACTCAGATCCGGAAATGTTGATGATGGCAGCCAACTATTTTCGCTATTTGTGCACCCGCTCCGGGCACGTACTTAATTTGAATACAAAGGCGTGGGGGGGGGAGGCACAAGGACACCCAGGGATGCCAAGAAGGATGCCTGCACCCAGAGAGGGGGCGGTGTCAAGTTAGCGCGGATTGAACACGGCAAGCACTGGAGGAGAAGTGTAAACTACACATAAATGATGTTGTCACTCTGTCATTGTGTCCCCCCATTTCCCAGCCTCCCTCAGCCATCACAGGCAATTAATAGCTGCGCCTATTCAATATCGTATGGTAATATTGCGTATACGCCCACGCTCCATCCGCGATGTGTGTCGCTGATGATGCTCCCATCGCTGTGGATGCTGTGGCTGTTGTCGGTGACAGATGCCATCAAAATCGAGTGTCACATCGAATGACGTGTGAAGTAATCGTTTACGTTTTCGATTTCCAAAGGCAAAGTCAACACATCACATCACCACACACACACTCGGCGGCTTGGAGAGGTCTGAGTTTGAGATTGTGATTAAAAACAAACCCCTCTTTGAGGACTTAAACCAAAAAACAATGCTAGTTTGCACTTTTATGATTTGCTTGTTAACAGAATTGTTTGCAATTGAAAGGGGATTTAAGCTTGTAATTAGCTGATGATTTTACCTTATTTTAGTCAGTAGTTTTACTTAAAAAATCAAACAAAACCCTATTCAAGAAGCCTTACAGAAACCTTCTTTAAAACCTCCCTTAACAACGCCTAAAAAACAGACAAGCCCCTTAAAAAAATCTCAAAACCCTAGTCAAAGCATAAATCGAGAAAAACCCTTAATAACCAAATTCATACTCCCCTAATAAACTAAACAAAAATTGCATACAAACCCAGTTAAAATTATATAATATATAAAAAATAAAAGTAAAAAATAAAAGCATTATAAAGACTTTCAATCGATATTTTAATATTACCCTTACATTTTAATTTTTTTGGTATTATCAAAGTTTTAATTTGCCACAACTATTTCAACTATATTTTTATATACAAATTTGACTACAAATCAAAATGTAAAAATTTCATAACTAAGCCAAAAACGCATTAATTTCAATTCGGAAAGCGGCAGTATGTTAATTTTTAGCAGGTTAACAAAACTGCATACTCCATTTAAAATGTGATTTTTTGGCCGATTTTCGCAAATTTTCATGATGTAACCCCTTTCCTTTTTTTACAAAAATGGGAAATTTCTGAAAAAAAATGTTTTCGGCCGGAGATGGCTTAAAAGATTCGCCTGTTGATGCTGATCAAGAATATATATGATTTATAGGGTCGGAAAGGACTCCTTCACTTTCTTTTAAGCTTCTGACTGAAGGTCCATTACCATTTTTGTACCGAAATTAACAATATTTTTATATGAAATTTTTCGACAAATCAAAATTTAAAAATTGTTGATGCTGATCAGGAATATATATGGTTTAAAGGGTCTGAAATGATTCCTTCACAGCGATACAAGCTTCTAACTTAAGCTATAATACCTTCCTACAAACCTCTCAAATTTTCTCTTTCTATTTTCCATGGATTCACAATCAATTTGAAGACAATTTCTCCGAAATTTCCCCAACTTTTTATATTATTTTAAGGATATATAAATTTATGCTATTTAAACTAATACTCTCTCGTGGCTTATAATCCCTTTTAGAGCGAGAGATAATAAACGTTCAACCACCAAGTGTCTGGTGTGGGTTTCAGTATCCTCATTTTGTGTGGGGAAACCAGGGGAAACCGGGGGAAAACCCCAATTGTCGCTACATATTGCTTCCTAATCAGCGGGAACTGGCCAGGCTCTGGGGGAATCCCATTTCTCGCTTCATTCAGTGACAGGACACAATGCGAATCCAATTCCGGGTCGAAAATAAAATGTCATTAAGGTTCCCATTTGTTTCGCTTTGGATTTGTTTTGTTGTTTGCACTGTGTGTGTGTGTGTGTGTGTGTGTGTGTGTGTGTGTGTGGGCGCTGTAGGCGTGGCTGGGCGTGATCTAATTGCGGGTTTGGGTCGCATTCGGACTCGGATGCAATTGGTCATCCGCAGATGGGCGCCGCTTGGTATTTGCTCTGCACTCCGGATGCTACATTTTGTGGCACATTGTGGGAATTTATTCAAATGAGTGAGTGTGCCTTGGGGCAAGGGGGAAGGTTGAGGGGGTGCTGGGTGTTGGGGTGGTTTGGTAGTTGCCGTATTCAGCCTAATTGACGCACGTACCGGCAGCACTTGAGCCTGGCCCAATGAGGCGAAAAATTACTTTAAACGTGGTCAGAACAGGGTGCAGTGCCACGCCCACACTCTAGACTCAAATGTCCTTTAAATGCTTCGATTTCAGGTCCTTGTCCCTCTTCCTGCTGCTGGGAAAACCCCTGGTTTAGTTTGGAACCCCTAAAATCACCATCGAGCAAACAAAATTCTACTAAATACACACAGGGACACACACACACACACTATATATGCTGGCTAATATAATGCAAACGAAATTATAAGAAGTCAAAGGCAGTAAAAAGGATGGAGCAGCCAGAGGAGCAAGGAGGCAGCAAAAAGGACTGCCAAGGACACCAAGGCTTCTGTCTGTCTCCATCCAAAAATCATCGGCTGGCGTAATTAATCGAGTTTTCAATGCGAACGATTCGCAATCGCATCCATCAAAGGCCTCGATCCGGGGAGGAAAAGACAGAAAACTGAAACCAAAACAGGAGCGGAAGGAGCAGGACCAAGAGCGGAAACAGAGGGAGAAGCTAGAGCGGAAGCAGCAGCCAAAACAGGATAAGAAACAGGAGCCATGGCAGCGGGGTTTTCAATCTATCTATCATAGACCCCCTCACTCATTCAAATCTAATCAAGGAATACACGTTGCCATCTTCTGCGGGAAGTCAGAGACTGTGCGTTTTTACAGGCAATTTATTAATTTGGCAAGTTAGGCATAAAAAAAAAAACAAAAAACCAAAAAAAGGCAACAAGGGATGCTGGATGCTGTGCCTGTGCCACAAAAGCGTTTACCCGCTGCTTTGGCTTTGGCTTTGCCTGAAAACCCGAAAAACCGAAACTCCCAAACTTAGGCCCAGAGACCGAGACCAAGACCAAGACCGAGGACGAGGACGAGGCCACACGATGAGCAGGGGAAAGACCAGGGCAAGGCCACAGTGGTTCCAAGCATATTACGCATACGCACCGTAAACCGAACACGAGTGTGCGATATTAGTGAAATATTAAGTATACGCCATGGGAGCCCTCAGTAAATACACCAAAAACTGCTCAATTTATCATTAAAATGTACTATTAAAAGAAAAGCTTTTTAGCTAATCATTTCAATTACTTTTAGAACTTTAAAACACAATTATATCCTGCACTCTTGATGAGTTAGGCGACATTTTTTGCAACCACTGTGGTTAGGAATATGCTTCTCCATAGCTGCCGCCTGGCTGCGCAGGGAGCAAAGACGCAAAGGATTCAATTAGAGAAGTTGCTGGGCCAAAGCCAAAGCCCAAAGCTGAAAGCCAGAGACAAGAGACAAGAGACAAGAGACAGTGGGCCAGCCAGGGCATCATCAGTATGGGCAGGAGCGGCTGCTGTGGCAGAAGCTGATGCCTCAGCCAGACCGCTGAACGTGCAACTAAGTGCGCACAATCAAAACAAATCAACACGTGGTTTTCCTTGCCACACTCGAGCACTGGAGCACTGGAGCAGTCGAGGTCGAGGCGAGGCAAGGCGAGGCAAGGAGAGGCCCAGCAGCCGCACAAGGAGCAGGAGCAGGAGCAGGATGTGGAGGAAGGAGTGGAAGCAGCACTAGATGCCGCCTCCAGTCCACTTTTTTTATTTATTCATCTTTCAGAGAGCAACGCAGACGCAGAAGACCAAAGGCGGAACTTTTGGGTACTTGCCAGATTGAGAAATATATAAACATTACAATTCCTAACTAATTGTTCAGAAATAATTGTTAAAAATTTAATATAACTAAACTTTTCAGCTTAAAGGGGGTCAGAGAGCATTTCCGGAGAGTTTTCAAAAATGAATAGTGAGAGTTATAAAAGAAAAACATAAGCAAAAGTAAATTTTTTTTTAAGAATTCTTAGCTATAAATATTTTTATCACATGAATAGGGAACTAATTTCGCAGTAATTTTTATATATTGTTATAATTGGTATTACCTTTCAATATTATTATTCCCTTGTTATATAAATTCATATTACTTTAAAAGAATTTTTACATTTTTTATGTGCATTTCAGGGTATTAAATTTTAAGTCAATGGCTGGCAAAACAGTGAAGGAGTCTTTTCCGACCCTATAAATTATATATATTCTTGATCACCATCAACAGGGGAATCTTTCTAGGCATTTAGAAAAGAAATAAAAATTTTACCAATTTTTTCTAAACTTTATAAAGGGTTACATCATGAAAATAGTCAAAGATTTGAAAATTTTAACATTTTAAATTGCATTTGCAGATTTATAAAGCTGATAAAAACTAGCATAACAACGGTTTCCGAATTGAAATTAATAATTTTTTGGCTGAGTTATGAGTTTTTAAACTTTGATTTGTTTAAAAAATGTCCTTATAAAAATAAAGTAAATATTGACTAATAAACGACATTTTACTTTTAGTCAGAGGCTTGTAATGATGTGAAGGAGTCATTTCCGACCCTATTAATCATATATATTCTTGATCAGTATCAACAGGCAAATCTTTCCAAATATGTAAGGAAAAAAATTTATTTTTTTCAAAAATTATTAATTTAAAAAAAAAAAAACAAAGGGTTACATCGTTAAAATTGTCAAAAATTGGGAAAATTTTGAAATTTAAAAGAAGTATGCAGATTTGTTAACCTATCAAAATTAAAATCTATGCTTTTGTTGCTTAGTTATGAGATTTTTAGTCTTGTGATTTCTCAAAAAAAATTATCAGTAATATATGGAGTTGTCTTTCTTTTCTTTAGCTTTTTCACTAATGAGAATATTAAAATATAATAATGCTTTTTTTTCTTTTTTAAATAAGAAATAATGGATAATATTTAATGAACTATTTTAAAGCAGTAAACTTTTTGAGCTAAACATAGGTTTTTATACATTTTTCTTCCAACCAGAATATTATAACATTATATTATTTTAATAACTATTATTATTTTAAATGGAAATAATGTATAATATTTAAAGCTAAAATTACTCTTTTAAGACATTTCTGTTTTAACCAGAACTTGTTGAGAATTCCTGTTTGACTCTCTGAACCAGGTGGCAACTCTGTAGCTTGGGTTTGGCAGGACATCAAGAGAGGCAGAGAGCATACAGAGGCTCTCTCTCTCTCTCTCTCTCAGTACGAGAGCAAAATATTACGTATACGCAAGAAGGAGGGCGTGTTACAGGCGTTGCGTCAAAGCGAAAGCCGAAAGGAAACGAAACTGAAACCGAAACCAAGTCCAGTTCCTCCGCTTCCCTCCCTCTCTCTCTCCCTCTCCCTCCCTCTCTCTCTCCCTCTCTCTCTCTCTCTCTGTCTCTCCCTCTCTCTGTCTCTCTACCACTGACTGTGTGTGACATTGACAATGCTCTCCCAGCCACCCTCCGCAGGACATCTGCCTCTCCATGTGTCGTAATCGCTTCGGTTCGTCCTCGTGGCTCGGATGCTGAGCCTGGACCGTGATGACTGGGGACTGTGCCTCTTCCCGGGCTTTATGGGGCTTCAGTGCCATTCGGTGGCTCGTCGCATTCAGTCCGCAAGAGAGCGCGCTCCACTCCGCTCCGAATCGGAAAACGAATTGAAACCGAAAGGACCGACACCAAAGTCGATCGGCTGAGCCTCAAGTTGAGCTCGGAGCAAAGCGTTGCTGCCGTTGGTAGGGTTTTAAGCTCGGCTTGGAAGGAACCCAGGCCAGGGAAGTGGATGCGGAACGTGGACGTGGGATCGATCGCTATTGGACACGCTGACGGACTGACCGACTGACCGACCGACCGACCGACCGACTGACTGACTGACCAAGCTCCCCCGAGCTCCTCCCAAATGTGGATGTAAACGTAAGCCAAGGACCTGCCCTAGAGCTTTGTTTTATAACAAAAAAAAAAAAGCAAAACAGCAAATAGCAATAGCGGCGGCAAATAACAAATGCGATACAAATACAATAAAACCAAAAATATAAAAAAATGCAAAAACAGGACACCGCAGGATAACGCAGCGTTAGAGCGGGAAAGAGAGCCAGCGAAAAAAAAAGGAAAATGAACTTTTTGTTCGTGGCTTTTTTTTGTTTCCCTTTCTTTTTTTTTTTTTGGGCGTGTATAAATGTGTGTGTGAGTGTCCTGTATGTGTGTGTGCGTGTCCTGTCTGCGTGTGTGTGTGTGTGTGTGTGTGTCCTGTCTGTGTGCTTGTGTGTGAGGAGGCTGCGTCGTCATCGTACCGCTGTCGCTGTATTGGTGGCCCTGTGTGTCGTCGTGTCTTTGCATTTTTGGGTGTGGACTTGTTTCATGTTTCAACGTTCAGCATCAAAACTTTGCTCGCTAAGTAGCAGCCACAGAGAGAAAAATAAAGCACACAGAAAAAAATACAAAAAAAACCAAGTACACAGAGAGAAAAACCAACTAATTTTGTGAGTGAAAAAAAAGCAAAGAAAAAGTGCCTTAAAATATATATAGAAAATACCTACAAGAAATGCTGCTGCCATTTGCTGTTGCTCTTTATTTTGTTTTTGTTCAAGTGTGTGTGTGTACGAGAAGGATGTGTGTGTGTGTGTAAATGTGGGTGTGTGTGGGCCAATACACAACCAGCAAAAAACAACTATAACAACAACAACAACAACAACTATAACAACAAAATCAACAACGCAAAACAATGGCAAAAGTGCATGAAAAGTGCCGAAGGAAAGCAACGCGAAAGCAAAACAAAGGCCCCTCATTTCCACTCCCTCGGCAACCATGGCCCCTGCGACACATTTTAATTAAGAGGCCATCCCCCTGCCCCTACCCCTGCACCCTGCCCCCTGCCTCCTCCCTCTCTCTACACCCCCATCATTCACTTCGTATATAAAAAAGAAAACCCCCCTTTAACACCCTCCCCAACGTCGCCCCAAGTTTCGAGATTTTTACTATTATGAAATTTGCACTAATTCGAGGCGAAAGCAAAGCAGCCTTGGCAGCGTGGCATGGAAGGAAAGCCTTTCCTTTCCTTCTCTTCCGACTCCAGGTTTTCCTCTCGGTCTCATATAATCAAAATAGGATACCAAGCTTTAGACATGATTTATCTTAGACATTATTAGCTAGAATTTCCAAACAGGGGATAGTTTTAGTTACAATATAATAAATAAGCCTTAGAGTCTAGTATTATGTTTGGTTTCTATCAAGAGATCTAAAATCACTGAAGATTCATGAAGAGGTTCTTCTAAAACAGACTTGTATCTTTTAGTTATTTAGTAATAATAATAACAACACCAATAAAATTCCACATGAACTATCACAATCAATAGAAGATAAGACTTTTCTCACACATCTTTTGATTGCTGGCAAAGTTTTAAAATATAGAAATTGCTTTTCTTGAAGTCGTGTTTGTTTTTCATCAAGAAACTAACGCCAAAAGTTTTCCAATAGATAAACAAAAAATTCCTTAATCAATAAACAATAAGAAAACAACGCATAGTTAACACAACAAATAACAGTTATAAAAACCAACACCAAGAAACTCACTATTAAACATAACAACAAACCAACAGTACAACAACACAACAACAACTCTTTAATAAATACAACACAACACAACAACAACTCTTTAATAAATACAACACAAAAACAACAACTCTTTAATAAATACAACACAAAAACAACAACCACAATAACAACAACAACAACAACAACAATAATAACAACATCTCAACAACCAACAACTAAACACCACAACAACACAAAAAACCAACAATTAAGAACACAACAAGCTGGAAACAACTCAGTGAGGACCTAGAGAGAACTTTTGGCTAAAACACAAAAACCAATATACACTTTTTTTGGCCAGTGCACCATGGGCAAAATGAAGGAAATTTGGTGTTGGTGGAAAGAATACTTAAATAGAAAAAATCCTTAACAAGTATAATTCTTAAATAAGGAAAGCCTATAGGAATCAACTAAAGTAAGAGTTTTCGGTGGAAAGTTATCTAATATTATTATTTGTTCTAACTCGCCATCAAGAAAACCTGGAAAATGTTGCAACTTGACTTTATAAATATTATAAATAATAATTCAAAAACTAAATGTAATCATAAATTTCGCTTATGTCACCCACGGTGGCAGTGACAAACTGCAGCAGTAGTCGGTAGTCGACGTTTGCTGCAAGGAGAGTCCTGTTGCGAGAGTCCTCTTGCTCGTCCTGTTCCTTGCCACTGCAGCCTGGCTGATGTCCCGGTGTGTGTGTGTGTGTGTGTATGTGTGTGTGTGGGTGTGTGTTTCGAGGGGATTTGCATTCGGTTAAACTTTTTGGGGGGCAGCAAAAGCAAACTTTTGTTTGTCTGTTGTTTTGGCGGCACAACACGCCGTAAACAGGACGCTTTCGCGGCTGCTGCGGGTGCACTGAGTCTGATCTAATGAATTAGGTGCCAGCCAGGACCAAGGACCAAGGAGGAGACAGAGACAAAGAGAGAGAGAGGGAGAGAGCCAGAGAGATGAGAAGGGGCAGAGAAAATGCCATCAGTGTCAGAGAGATAACACGCGGCAATTTTTCACGCCCCAAAAGGAAGGCGGGTGTATGAGGGGAAATGGTTGGGAAATGGCTCGGAAATGTCGCGTTTGTAGCCAGGACGAAGCCAGGACTGGCTCTGGGTTCTGATGTCGGTCGACGCACTGTCAAATTAGACAGCGTTTTCACCAGCTTCCGAAAAAGCTAACCAAACAAGGACTCTTTTGGCGTCCCCCCGTGATAAAGCACGACCAAAAAAAAAGGACCAAAGTGGAAGCTCAAACAAATAAATAAATAGATTGCATTTGGTGGGCGTGGTCAGAGAGAGCAAAAGGAGAAGCAGAAGAAGATGAAGAAAAAAAAGTAAATAACTGTCAAAAAGAAAGGGGTTCGCCAGGATGCTGAAAAAGGAGATGGTGGAGAATATGGGAAAGGGTGTGACTGGTGTCTGTCTCGGCCCGTGTCCTTGTCCCTGTTAGGAATGTGCCAAGTCTGATATTATAAATAGAGAAACATATCTATCTTATCAATTAATGATGTTTAATTAAACGTAATTGAAATTTAATATTGCTTAATTAATTGTAATTGGTAAAAGATAATAGATATTATCAAAACATTTATAAAAAATGTTACCATAAGTCATTTATCACCTATTTCAATGGTTTTGATCTAAGAAACTAATTAAAATATCAATATATTATCCAGATATCAGCTTCTATAGCTATATTTGGATATTTTCTGTCATCTCTAGTCTGGAAATAAAAGTAAAAGCCAAGTAAATACAACTTGAGCCCAAGGATGTCCGGCAAAAGTCATAAACACAACAGGATGAGCATAAGCTGAAGCAGGACGAAAGGCAGATGATGATGATAATACCATTGTAGTAGGCACACAACAACAACAAATACAACAACAACATCACCAACAACAACAACATCACCAACAACAACAGCAAACATTTTCAATCAAAAGTTTAATACGCCGTGAATTCATTACACGTCCGATGAATGACGACGTATAACTCTCTCTCCCCCCAAACCCCCCCTAGGCTGTTGTTGTTATTTTTGGTTTTCTTCTCTGTTATTTCTCATACAAGATACAATTTATTGCCGGCCATGTCATGTACCCCACAAAAAAAAAAAAAGGACGAAACACATGTAGACACAGGGAACACACACACTCATAGAGAGAGAAGCAGAAGAAGCAGACATTTTACGGCTAAGCACACGCACACGAAGCCAAAAATAAGGGAGAAGGATACAGGAGAAGGACACAGGACAAGGAATCCTAGTCCTAGTCCCAAGACCCAGACCAGAGCCCATGACCTTCGGCGTCTTTGGCGGCCATTGCATGTGAGCATCAGAAGAAGGAGCAGCATCAGAAGGAGCATCATTCCAGCCTGCTTTTGTATCTCTCCTGGTTACATGGGGGGAGGGGGTGATGGTGGTCCTGCTCCTTTTACTCCTGCGGACAAGTAATCACTCTTTTGCTGCCGCTGCCATGCTTATTGACAGGCCGACAGGCGGCAGTTAAGTGTCAAAATACAGTTTAAGCCAAAAGACCAGGGGGTGGCTAGGGGAGAGGGTAGAAAGGGTGTAGTGGGTGTAGCAGAGGAAGGGGTTTCCTAGGATAGGGTCGTCAGACAACCGACAAATTATAAGCCCAAAAAAGCAGCTTCTGCGGAGCCACGAACTGCGCGAGAAAGCACGAAACATGAAGTCTCAAGAGCAGGAGCAGGAGCAGGAGCAACTTTTGCTGACGCAGGAGCCCAGGACTTTCCTCCCAACCCCCCATTACCCATTCCCTAGAATAGGAGAGGCGGAGGGAATTGTGTATATTCGATGATGACACGAGGCCGCAGCAGGCGACGCCCAAAGCCAAAGCCAAAGCCAAAACCAAAGCCAGAGCTATAGCCTTCATACACCAAGAGAAAAGGAATTTACGAGAGAAATCAAGTTTCTGGGAAAGAAAAGGAATTTACGAGAAAATGAAAGTTTCAGGGAAACAAAAGGAAATTTCGAGAGAAAGCATGTTTCAGGGAAAGTAAGGAAAGTTAAATAGATTTACCATAGATTGTTAATTTTATTAAAACCATAAAGTTAAATCGATTTAAAGATTATTTTAGCAAAATCCAGAGTTATACAAAATCTAATTTGAAATTTCAAATATTGTACTATTCTAGCCCTTTGTGATTTTTCAATTTCTAAGCTTCAATTTCTAGTTAAACAAGAAAGGAAACTAATTGGGGAAGTTTGCATTTTAATTATATTATTTTATCAAAAATCAATCAAAACTAAACTTGCTTCTTACTCAAATTATATTAGCCTGCCAGGTTACAAGTACACCAGTGCGTATACGTAATTTTTATGGGACTATGGAATTTCGGAAATAAAATGTAAATCCAATTGGAAGAAAATAAATTATATGATCAAATACGAAATCGGTCTTAACTAGGCTTAAAAAATGAATATTCTTTGAACCCATAATTATTTAAAAATCTCATAACTCAGCCAAAAAATTATTAATTTTAATTCGGAAACCATTCCTATGCTAATTTTTATCAGCTTTACAAATCTGCATACTCAATTTAAAATGTTAAAAAATTCAAATTTTTAACAATTTTTTTAATCTCATTTTTAACAATTTTAACCTCATCAAATTTTCAAAATTTTGAAAAAATTAAATTTTTTCTCGGACATAGCTAGTTTAAATCGCCTGTTGATGCTGATCAAGAATATATATGCTTTATAGGGTCGGAAATGATTTCTTCATAGCTTTATGAGCTTCTGATTAGAACTGTAATACTATGCCAGGATTTAAAAAGAATAGGAGGTATGAAAATACTGAAACTTTAATTTCTTTCGGTGTAGCCACATCTAAGGCAACCAAACAATGCCGGGGAAAAACAGGATGAGATACAGGGAAACTACCAGCAGCCGCAATATGTGCGGATATTAATGATGATGACTATCATAAAGGAGCTGGAAGGAGGAGCTGGAAGCAGGAGCTGGAAGGAGGAGCTGGAAGGAGGAGCTGGAAGGAGTAGCTTGTACAACCATATAGCTTGGAGCGTGGGTCGACTATCTGGTTCCAGCCACACCCTGGTTATATCCTGCGCCTGATACCCGATGCCCTTCTAGTTTTGCTTTCAATTCCTGATTTCTGATTTCTGTTTCCGCTCCCTCCCTCCCTCCCTCTCTCTCTTTCTCTCTCTCTCTCTCACTCTCTCTCTCTCTCTGCTGTATCTGGGGCTCTGTTTTACTGCTGTTTGCCGGCGAAAAACATTCAAAATTCAAAGTGAAAATTTCACGAGCAATTACCGCATTCCCTGCGGGATGCCAGCAGGCGCACACCCTTCCTTTTCAGTGTGTGTGTGTGTGTGGCAGAGTATGTGTGTGTGTGTGTATGTGTAGCTGCGATTATGCGGACCAATGTCGCATTTAATTTATGTAGAAAGCCAGGCGGCGCAACGCTCAAATTGAATCCCCGAATTTGAATCACTGAAATACCCTAGTCTAGTAGGAGGATGTATATCGAGAAGATATAAAAATAATTCATATATCTTATAACAAATATTATAGATTTTGATAATCAATATATCATATAACCCATAGGTAGATGCATACTTACTTAACTTTTAAATTTATTTATAGATTTTCTTTTAAAGCTATTTCTGTTTTTAATTTCCAATTCATTTTAATCTTATTTTCCTTTTAAATTTCAAGAATTTGAGTAAGAGAAAAACCTGCTCTCCATTCATGGAAATAACAAAAGGGAAACAACACTCTTCTCTAGGGCGGCATCCTAAGGGAGGGGGAGGAGGCAAAGTCCTCGCACAGTTCCATGCTATTCCGGCCATAACAAATTAGTAGCGGAAACGGAAATGGCGGAAAACGTCAACGACGAGTGTTGCCAATGCAGGCAGATGTTGCCATTGCCGCACGAGTGGCAGCGCCAGAGTGGGGTGTGTAAGAGAAGAGGTGTGTGAGGAGAGTGTGTGTGAGGAGTGTGTGAGGAGTGTGAGAGGTGTGTGAAGTGTATAAGGTGTGTGTGTATGTGTGTGGACCCCCTTCAGATGTACGTACATTCAACACTAACAAGTACTCCTCGTTTTGTGCCATTTTACCGACGTTTAAATTTAGTAGCAACCAATACAAGCTCAATAACTCCCCACAAGGGGGGAAGGGGAAGGACAGGATCAGGCATCAAGGACAGCAGGATAACCAAAGAGAGAGAGAGCACACACTCAATAATAATCCATCCAGGCAGATGCAATAGGTCAACAGGAGCAGGAGTAGGAGTCGCAGGAGTCGCAGGAGTTGCCAGAGTCCGAGAGCCTCTCGAGCCAAAACCATGATGCCCAGTCGCGTCAAACTGAAATGCGAATGGAGGTGTTGCACCGAACAGACGAGGAGGAGGCACCAACAATACCACCATAATAGTAGTTGTAGTGGGAACATCACTTGGAACACTGCCAGCAGCCAACAACAGAAACAGAAACAGAAACAAAAGCACAATAGCAATAGCAATAGCCACAAACACACAAGATCCTTCCCTCAATCACCGCCTCTATCAATCACGCTCAATGCCCATGCCCTGCTCCTTTTGGTGGTCCTGCTCGGTGTCCTGATCCTGGATAGCTGCCATGGCCTCCGGCTGACCAATGGTGGCAGCAGTCTCAGTAAAAGCGCCGCCGCCAACAAGGAGCAACTCAACATTGGCCTGATAGCACCGCACACGAACTTTGGAAAGCGAGAGTATCTGCGGAGCATCAATAATGCCGTCACAGGACTAACCAAGACACGTGGAGCCAAGCTGACCTTCCTCAAGGACTACTCCTTTGAGCAGAAGAACATACACTTTGATATGATGTCCCTGACGCCGAGTCCCACAGGTGAGTTGTGGTTCTTATCTTTGTTAATTGTTTAAGAGTTAGTTGCTTACTGCATTTAGAGCTTACTTTGTCGGGGGGAAATCTTTAGGTTTCGCTTTCTCCTTTATCAGTACTTGGTAATTGTTAATCCGTAATCGCTAATTCCTACTCCCTACTAGCTAATCACTTATCACTAATCATAAATCAATTGTGCACTTGATTAAATGGATTTTGCAATGAATATCCTAGGAGGTCCTGCCATTGCAAAGGTGAAACTCATTGGTAGAGAAATCTCTCTCGCTGGCCTGGTCTCGCTCGTTCACAAGGGTCAAGAGGTCGCGACACCTGGCCGGCACCTGCTCTCTTAATTGCGTACGCACCTTTAATGGCCGTTCATTTTGAGCTACTTAAGCGCTTAAACCCCCTCCTTTTTGGACCACCCACGGCGATGCAATAAAAGCGGCCATGAAAGCGAACGAAAATGAAAATGAAAATGAAAATGACAATGAAAATGAGAGAATGGGGGGAAAAGCGAAGGAAAAATGCTTAATGCTTAATGCAAAGGCGGTGGACATAAATAAATGTCCTGTCCATTCCTGGACTGTAATTAAGCGCCGGCGACAGAGTTGTCAACGGGCCTGACAGGGTTGCCAGGCTGCATTCTAAAGCACTGATTGAGGGTTGTCGAGTGTGCCAATTGTGATTCCCTATGCCGTTTTGCAAGAGCAAAATTGCATTTCAAGCATTGCCCTGGGTTGCATTCACTTGGCACAAACATTCACAAAACTTGCTCGAGCAAAAAAACGAAACGGAAAAAACCCCATAAAAAAAGGAAAAGCAAGGAGGAAAAGACTGATTGCTCCAGAACCTAGGGGCCATATTGAAATTTTATGTTGCATTTCCACAATTTTTTTGCTGGCTAAATTGATAAAGCAAAGAGCGGAGTCGACGAAACGAATTTCCAATGATGTTTAAATGTTTATTATGGCCAGGACCCAGGCAGGACCTTGAGTGGAAGAGAAAAGCCTGGGCGATGTGTGGCACGCAAATTACAACACATAACAAACAAAGTCTGTCTGTCTCTGTCGAGTGGCAGTCTGTGGGGAATTTATAATGGATTTTCCTACATATATACACACACACACTTATAGCCCAGGGAGGAGTATTGGGGTGGGGGTGGGGGAAAACATGGGGAAAATTCTGTTCAGTTGTTCAGACGATTGTTATTTCTCCTCGAATGCTGAACAATGAGCGGCCCTGAATGGTGTTTGCCTTGATTTTTCCCCCTCCCAACAACAAACTTTGAATTTCTTTCACTAGAAATCGAGAGAGAGAGAGAAAATGAGATCCTGGCCAATCCTGGGCCATAGTTTTGCCCTCCTTTTGTCGTGTAATAATCGCAAGGATATGGAAATTGAATTCGATTCTGCGGTCTTCACTCTTGATCCTTCAGCAAGGAGTACAGCCAACACTCCAGCTCATCCTTTTCTCCATCCCTGCTCCCTTCAGTTGATGATTTTGTGTCAAAGTAATTTCATATGAAATTGTATTACTTTAACCTCCCAGACACAACAAACGATTACCGAGAGAGAGGCAGGCTGGCTGGCTGGCTGGCAGGACTCCTGAGCTCGTGTGCCCCGCCGCTTGCCCCTTTTTTTCTTCTCCTAAAAACCATCAACTTTGATGGCCTGATTATCGAGTTTGCCTCATTTGCGGCGTTGGAAAGTGGTCCGAAATTGGCGTTGGGTTAAAGTGGCGGACAATCACCTCAGAGGATGATGGGTCCCCCAAGTCAATGTCTTCATACAAGGGGTTAAAGCCCATTGTTTTTTAGGAGTATACTTGTACCCAGGGCGAGTTCTATATAATTGCTGTGTAATAACACTTAGTAGAGGACCAGAGAGTATACATAGATATTTATAACAAGGACCTTACTATATCTTACAGACTGAGGTACTTGAGATTATAAATAAATAAGGCGAAGAAGACGATTATCTAGTTTAGGTTTAAATTTTAATTAAATTGTTAGGCATTATTGTTATTATGGCACAAGGAATATATGGTGTTGTGAGACTGTCAACGGACTTTGGCTATATTAAAGAACTTAAAATGTTTTTCGGCATTATCTTGGTTCTTAAGTATATCTTGTAGTACTTTTTCTGTAAAAACTATACGCATTTCTTTCAAGAATACCTAAAATATGTGTATTCATGGTATTTTATATCAATATTTTTTATATACTAATTTTAAGGGTAATTCCAAGTTTTTCACATCTCATAACTAAGCCAAAAATGCATTAATTTCAATTCGGAAAGCGCTCTTATGTTAATTTTTAGCAGGTTTACAAAACTGCATACTCCATTTAAAATGTGATTTTTTGGCCGATTTTCGCAAATTTTCATAATGTAACCCCTTTCCTTTTTTCCGAAAAATGGGAAATTTCTGAAAAAAAAATTTTTCGATCGGAGATGGCTTAAAAGATTCGCCTGATGCTGATCAAGAATATATATGATTTATAGGGTCGGAAAAGACTCCTTCACTTTCTTTTAAGCTTCTGACTGAAGGTCCATTACCATTTTTGTACCGATATTAACGATATTATGTATTATATAAAATTTTTCGACAAATTAAAATTTAAAAATCTCATAACTAAGCCAAAAACGCATTAATTTCAATTCGGAAACCTTTGTTATGTTAGTTTTTATCAGCTTTATAGATCTGCATACTCAATTAAAAATGTTAAAATTTTCTATTTTTTTTGTCAATTTTAACGATGTAACCCCTTATAAAATTTTCAAAATTTTGAAAAAATAAAATTTTGAAAAAATAAAATTTTTATGGGAGATAGCTATATCGATTCCCCTGTTGATGCTGATCAAGAATATACATAGTTTATAGGGTTATAAATGATTTCTTCACTCAGTTACTAGCTTCTGACTAAAGTAGTTATACCCTGCAAAAGAGTATTTAAAAAAAACCCACTCAATCTGAAAATACTTGTTAATGGTCATCTGTCAGAGAGCCCTGGTAAACTGTCATTCCTGTCCACACTGGAGTTTCTCTCCCCCCCTTATTATCCTGGAACCGCTCTGCCATGATGTACACAAGGACATGGACATGGACATGGACATGAACATGAACATGTGTGATGGCCAATGTAATCCGTTATCCGTTACCAACAAACCGATTTCCATGAACCCAAAGCAAAAGCTTGTATGTCAAATTTGCATTAATTGCTGGATAATCAAGTGTTCAGGTTGTGTGCGTGTGTTATTTATCGGTTATAAGCTATTGAAAGTGGATTGTAATATTTCTATTCCAAAAGAGAGATGGCTTTAAGGGCCACTTGAGGCATACGTGGCGTATACGCAATGCGAGTGTCAAGGAGCAGATGAATGATGGAATGATTCCAAGCAGAACTTGGCTTTCACTCTCTCCTCTCTCTCTCCCTGTATTGGTTGCCACTTTGCTAAATGACATTTTAAGTTTGAATCGAACTCCCGGCAACCGAGGACTTGGTCCATATATCACTCCATTGTCAATGGCCGGACAACTGGGATCCCTGGGCAGCCGTAAGTCATTTTTCTTCTTTCATAGCAAACTGGGAGCCCAGCCTAGACCCCTCTCCCCTTAACATCAGCAGGAGGGGTAGGAGAAGGACTAGGAGAAGGAGAAGTAGCAGAAGCTGCATTGATTCCATGTCCTACATCCTTTATTATTAGCCATTGAACCCGCGATTAACATCCGGTGCATGGTCCATGGTCGTTGTCGTTAACCTTGTTTACACCTTGTCTACATGCGGCTACCTGGATGTCCTTTTGCTCCTGCTCCTGCTTCTCCTTTCACCTAGTGCTGCATCAACCACCGGAAGCTATCTCGCATTAATAAGCTGTTGAAGCCTGCTCGTGTCCTTTCCCTGTCCTGTCCTGCTCCTGTCCCTGCCCCTGTCCCTGTTCCTTTTCCCTGTCCTCTCCCTGTCCTGTTGGTAACTGCAAGCGCTTTCTACACCTGCCAGATCCAGTCTGTGTCCAGTGTCCAGTGTCCAGTGGTGTCCTAATGGTGTTACAGTGCAGCTCCTCTTCTCCTGTCTCCCTCATCCTCCTCCTGGGGAGGACTGGACCCTATTTATTGGCAACGTGCAAATATTCAGCCGCAGCTGCCATTGGCCGTAAATTGATTCTCCAAAGGCTCCTTGCTGCCTGCCTTTTTTCTTTTTTTTCTCCTTCTTTTTTTGCATCCTTAATTTCCCGCCATGCCGGACGTGCGTGGCCAAGGGCAAGCCACTGGTGTGTGTCCTGCTGGCGAAACAAGCCCCAAACAAATGGTTGTCGGAGAAAAAGAACAACAACAACAAAAAATATATAAATATATGTAAAGAAATAAAAAATGAAAGGAAAAAAAAGGAGGCCCCAGGACAATGGCAGGCCAAGATGACTTACTCTGCCTGAGCTTAGAAAATATCCTTGCAAGTGTATTTTATACCCTGCCTTTCTTTCAGTTCACACACACACATACACACAGAGATTTCATTTTACTTTTCCTTTTGCCCTAGTCCCTGGCCCAAATCAAACCCAAGTCCAAGCCCACTAATTGGCGCCGCCTTGGAGTCAGTGCCAGGTCAAGAATAGCCCTCGGGCTTAGTTGTCTCGTCCCTAGTCCCTTTTGCCTTGGTCCTGCTACATGCTCGTCGGGCCTGGGGATAGACTTTTGAACTTGAACAAGGGACAAAGGGGAGCGTGCTGGAAAGCGACTTGCCTTTGGGGCCATGCGGTTGATCCTTTGGACTGGGAGGAGCTGTGGAGTTTTCGTTTTTTGTGTTTGGTTTCGGGTTACAAACTATGAACTGCGCTTAAGTCTGTTGACATCGCACACATGCCTGCGGTGACAGTGCCGACAAACAGATGCGATGGCAGAGAGATCCTGGTATCCGAATTGCCTGATTATATACGCTCGGTTGGTAATGATGGACCAGCACTACTCTAGACTCTCACAAAACCACGCCTAATGGCCCCAACTGGCCAAGTGGTGTTGCGGTTGTGGGTACACACACTCTCTCGCCCTCGCTCTCTCTCTCTGTGTGTTAAGTTTGATTCTAGGGAAAGTTTCAGGAGGAGCAACCTCTTCTTCAAGGCTCTCAGGTTGTCGAGGAGCTGAAACCCAAAACCCCGAAGAAGGTGGAGGCTATGAACTACTTTGTCGCATCACTTTGCCGCATCACTTTGCACCAAAGTTTCACCTTCGGTGTGACGCGTCCTTGAGTCATTGCGGAGGACACAACCCCCGAACCCCTTTCTCTTAGCTGCCTTCCGTCTTCTTGAATCAGTTTTAATTCGATGCTAACAACAGCGTTGGAATTTTGACAACGCGGCAAAGGAAAGCAGCTCGAAGGCAGCACTACCAAGGCACACATGGTGTGTTCGCTTGAATCCCTACTGGGAGACAGTGCAAAAATCATCTGGCAACACTTTGATATTCGATAAGATGTTTTTTGTTTTTTTTTTTGGGGCATCGTCGTCCTGGCCACACCCACTCTCTGCCATCCAGCAGCGCTCCTGTCATTTTGTCGTCATGCGGATTTCGGTTGCTCTCATGTAAGTGGGAGAGCCAGCAGCAGCAGGATGAGAATGGAGTGTTGTGGGTGGGGGGTTGTATATCAGGGTTGCGGGTTCCGGGTTGGGGGTTGAGGGGTGGTGCTCCCAGTGACGTCAAGTTATAAAATATGCGCCAAGTTGCCATCGCCCAGTCTCCTTGGGTTTTTAGTTTGGCTTTCCTTCAGCTTCCTTTAGTTCCTTGCTGCTTTCTGATGCCTGTTCCTGCTTCTGCTTTTGCTTTCTTCCTGCTGCTGCTGCTGCTGTTTTGCTCCTTGTTCTGTACTCCTCTTGCTGTTGCTTCTATCCTGGGCATACGCATGGCATTTCCTTTTTTTTATTGGCATTTGCCACGCCCCTGTCAGATCCTGTGTGCGTGTGCGTATGTCAGTTTCTTCCTTTTTTTTTGGGGGGGGGGCTTTGGCATGCGAATGCCATTCTGTCCAGCTCTCAAAAACAGGGAAAAACTCTAAAATGTTAGACTCCCTGGGTTTGTTATTTCTATTTCAATTTGTAGAATAAATATATATATAAAAAAATCTGCTGGAATCTGCTCTGAAAGTAATTCTCTTGGAAAAGTTTCTTCAAGCTTGACTTTACTAGATCAAAAATATCCTTCTTCTATCCTTGCTTATCAGTAGAGAATCCTTTTAACCCCAGAACTTACTAAGTCGCAATATTCTGTTAAACATGGTAGGACAGAATGGATATGACTAGTTAATACCATGTTGCAATTAGAAAAGAGTAGTAACCAGACCAGAAACCAGATCCCAATCCAGGAGTAGTGCTTAATCGTTTGGAATTATCGCAGCAAATGTTTAATTGTGTGCAAGGAAAGCGAACTTTTTCCCTCCCAAATCGATTGATTTGTGATTGTGTGATGCGGGTGTCCTGGTTTCACAGGACCTAGCCCGCATCCTCTGAGTATATAGCTCTGAATTATCGAATGTGCTGGGACAGCAGCTGTGACTCCTAATTGTGCTTTATGCTCCTTGGCAAGGGAAGGAGTCGCTCTAGACTTGCACTTAGAGTGTGACACAGTCGTGTGTCTCCATCTCCTGTCGTGCTGCTCCTCTTTTTCCCTATCCTTTGCCCCATCCTTTTTCCTATCCTTTTCTCCATCCTTTTCCCTATCCTTTTACCCTTTCCCTTCACACCCCGTCAGCGCTTTTTCCGCTTGCCTGACTGCCTGCCTGGCGCATAATGTAAAAAGTTTGCACCGCCACCCCAGGACACACATACGCGGTGGCAAACCAGGAGGAGAAGGACATGGAGGTGGTTCCATCATCACCCTGCACTCTATCACTTGCATTGTTGGCAACTTGTGATAACTTGCGATAAAAACGAAGGCAATTGAATGATGCTTAAATGAAATTAATGGATGTTATAATAAGTTGACAGAGGCAACCTCCGGCTGCTGCTGCCTCTCCTCCTAGTGGCTGTCAGAAAGCGAGGACGAATGCGAAGGGACTCAGGACTCAGAACTCAGAACTCAGGACTCAAGACTCAGGACTCAAAGGCACAGCTGACAGCTGTCAGCTGACTTTGACTCCTGCTCTCACTCTCTCTCTAAGAACTCGCTCCTCTTGAGTGGCACAACAATAACAAAATGTTGTTCCTGCTTTTAGTCCTTTTTGGCAGTTAAATTCCCGGCCAGAAGCCGGGGGGCCGGAGGCCTCTGTGTGTCAAAATTCAATTTGCACATTACAAAAAGCCTGCAAAAGCTGCTCTGCCACCAGGACTCGACCCACTTCCGGGAGTCCTTCGGGGAACGTTCCTTCCCTGCCCTTCCTACCCTCCAAAAAAAAAAAAAACCTTGATGAATTGCCGCTCACATTACCTGCCACATTACGCACCTTTTACAGGACGTTGGTTAATCCCAAGGTCCCAGGACGACAGGAACCAGACAGACAGACACTTGATAATGCAATTACACTGTTTCTTAATGCACGCAATTAAATTTCTAAATGGGGGGAATCAAAAATGTTGCTGCCATTCCAAAAATGAAATTAAATTTTGAGCTAGAGGAAGTCCTAATTCCGTTAAGTGAATTTCTATTCTCGGTTAAATGCGAACAAAAGGTTGCTTTCCGCATTCCAAAGGACCTTTTCGTCCAAAGTCCATCAATCCAACCATCCATCCATCCATCTATCGATCCATCATCTGGAGGCGTGTGCTTTCTCTGGGCCTATAGATCTCTCTGTGGCTAGGACATGGAAATGGAAATGGAAATGGGTAATTGAATGCAGGCGCGGTCGAGGTGGTTGAGGGGGAAAATTAGCAGGACCCAGGACCCTAGCTCTAGCTCCAGTTTCTTCCTCCCCCATCTCATCGCTGTGTGGAATGCAGAGAGCAGAAGTAAAGTGATGAAAAAGTTAATTAAACTTTTTGATGAGATTTCACATTTTGCCAAAGCATTGACAGGACTACACCACCCCTCCCCCACCCGAACGACGCCTCTGATAAAACCCCGACAACCAGCACGTCCCTATGACTTGACAATGTCTTGTCATCGATTCCCTATTCGCCTGAGAAGGCAAAACTTACCAAATTATCTTTTGGTCATTGGCTGAACAATGCTGTCATCGATTTGCGAATAGTAGTCATGGCATCCACAACTGCACCCAGCTTCGGTGCTAATCTCCTGCTCCTACTCCGAGATTGCATGTGAATTATTTACGTACCTGCCAGGACGACCATCCGAAGTAGGTCAATTAGCGAGTAGGCCTCCGCGGTGATGGCCTCCCTCTAGGGGAACCAAATCGTAAAACAAGTTCGGAAGGTGGCTAATCTGCCATTAATTGCCACACATCTGTACACAAGACACGCACGAGCTGAGATTGGGACTTAACGATGGCCCAATTGGGAGTGAGGGAAACCGATATTTAGGATGGCAAGGAATACCTTTGACTGGGGAGATTCAACTTCAAGGAGAGAGGTTTCAGTGGTTTTGGCATGCAAATGAAGTCGGTGTAAAATGTATTTAAGGGGGGAGGAAGATAGATAATTAGAAGTTGGAGTTATCCATAGAGAGAAGCGACATATCTTTCTCTTAAGAACAGTTTCTAGAGGTTTAATCTGGTTTACCACAAAAAAAAACTAGAACAAATCTAACAAGACCCCATTTCTTATATATAATTAGAAGAGGAAGCTATCTATAGAGAGAATCGACTATATATTAATGCATATCTTTCTTTTAAGAACAGTTTCTAGAGGTTTAATCTGGTTTACCCCAATGTAAACTCTTCAAAAACTAGAACAAATCTAACAAGACCCCATTTCTTGACGCTTTTCCCCTAATATATAATTCAATACCATATAATATCTATATTATCCCTTTCCCAATCTCCTTCTTTAGCCATCTTGAGCACCTTGTGCAAGGAATTCCTGCGCGTAAATGTCTCCGCCATCCTGTATATGATGAACAACGAACAGTTTGGACATAGTACTGCCTCTGCTCAGTATTTCCTTCAATTGGCGGGTTACTTAGGCATACCGGTCATCTCATGGAATGCCGATAACTCGGGTCTGGAACGTCGTGCCTCCCAGTCAACTCTGCAACTCCAGCTGGCACCGAGCATTGAGCATCAAAGTGCCGCCATGTTGAGCATCCTGGAGCGTTACAAGTGGCATCAATTCTCGGTGGTCACCTCTCAGATCGCAGGACACGATGACTTTGTCCAGGCAGTGCGAGAACGTGTGGCCGAGATGCAGGAGCATTTCAAATTCACCATTCTCAACTCCATTGTGGTGACACGAACCAGCGATCTGATGGAGCTGGTGAATAGCGAGGCGCGGGTTATGTTGCTCTATGCCACCCAAACGGAGGCCATCACCATACTAAGGGCCGCCGAGGAGATGAAGCTAACGGGGGAGAACTATGTGTGGGTGGTCAGTCAATCGGTGATTGAGAAGAAGGATGCCCATTCGCAGTTTCCGGTGGGAATGTTGGGTGTACACTTTGATACCTCCAGTGCGGCTCTGATGAATGAGATATCGAATGCTATTAAGATCTATAGCTATGGCGTGGAGGCTTATCTCACGGATCCAGCGAATCGAGGTCGAAGGCTCACCACTCAATCGTTGTCCTGCGAGGATGAGGGTCGCGGTCGCTGGGATAATGGTGAAATGTAAGTTTAAAGAGTTTAAAAAGTACCTCATCCCAGGAGGAGTAGCCAGGATCTTGGCTCTATTCGTTTCCGTTTCCATTTCTGTATCCATTTCCGTTCCTATTCCCTGTTTCTATAGCTTCTTCAAGTACTTGCGCAATGTGTCCATCGAGGGTGACCTGAACAAGCCCAATATTGAGTTCACAGCAGATGGAGATTTGCGTTCCGCAGAGCTCAAGATCATGAATCTCCGGCCGAGTGCCAACAATAAGAATCTCGTGTGGGAGGAGGTAAGTACTACTGATCCTCCTTGCCTTATCCTTGCATGCTTCTTTTCTTTCAACTTTCTTTTTGAATTTTTCCGCCTCACTCTTCCTCAAACGCTCACAATCTCCACTCTCCTTTCTCCCTTTTGCCACTCTCTCTCCCCATGCAATCTCTGATCTTGCACGGCTTTGTAACTTACACCACTTGCCACTCGAATCTGCAATCTCCACTCCACTCCCATCTCCAATTTGGTGCGCCCCAGATTGGAGTGTGGAAATCGTGGGAGACCCAAAAGCTGGATATTCGCGACATTGCATGGCCTGGCAACTCACATGCCCCGCCCCAGGGTGTGCCGGAGAAGTTCCATTTGAAGATCACATTCCTCGAAGAGGCACCCTATATCAATCTGTCGCCCGCGGATCCGGTGAGTGGCAAGTGCCTAATGGATCGCGGTGTGTTGTGCCGGGTGGCCGCCGATCATGAGATGGCCGCCGATATTGATGTCGGTCAGGCACACCGCAACGAGTCCTTTTATCAATGCTGCAGCGGCTTCTGCATCGATCTGCTGGAGAAGTTTGCCGAGGAGCTGGGCTTCACCTACGAACTGGTGCGGGTCGAAGATGGTAAATGGGGTACCCTCGAGAATGGCAAGTGGAACGGCCTGATCGCCGATTTGGTTAATCGCAAAACGGACATGGTTCTCACATCGCTGATGATTAATACGGAACGTGAGGCAGTTGTTGATTTCTCCGAACCCTTTATGGAAACGGGCATTGCCATTGTGGTGGCCAAAAGGACGGGTATTATCTCGCCCACTGCCTTCCTGGAACCCTTCGATACTGCATCCTGGATGTTGGTAAGTTCTGGTCAAAGCTCACTGTGCTCCTTCTCACTGGGTAAGTCCGTTTCGGTTTCTCTTTTTGCTCATATGCTCATTTAGGTGGGAATTGTGGCCATCCAGGCAGCCACATTCATGATCTTCCTATTCGAATGGCTATCGCCCAGTGGCTATGACATGAAGCTATATCTGCAGAACACCAATGTAACGCCATATAGGTTCTCCCTGTTTCGAACCTATTGGCTGGTGTGGGCCGTACTCTTCCAGGCTGCCGTTCATGTGGACTCACCGCGTGGCTTCACTTCGCGTTTCATGACCAACGTTTGGGCCCTCTTTGCTGTGGTATTTTTGGCCATCTACACTGCCAACCTGGCCGCCTTCATGATAACCAGGTGAGTGGGAGGATATAGCTCCCATTTCCTCTTAATTTGTATACCTTTTTTTGTTATGTGACTTTCTAGGGAGGAGTTCCACGAGTTCAGTGGGCTCAATGATAGCCGCCTGGTGCATCCCTTCTCCCACAAGCCGTCCTTCAAGTTCGGCACCATCCCCTATAGCCACACGGATTCCACCATCCACAAGTACTTCAATGTCATGCACAACTATATGCGACAGTGAGTGGTCTATACTAATCCCAATCCTTTCCCACCCTGCCATATGCCACTCGTGATCTCTCTTCAGGTACAACAAGACCAGTGTGGCTGATGGAGTGGCCGCTGTGCTCAATGGCAACCTGGACTCCTTCATCTACGATGGCACTGTACTGGATTATCTGGTTGCCCAGGATGAGGATTGCCGCCTCATGACCGTGGGCAGTTGGTATGCCATGACCGGTAAGTTGTCCTCGCCTTCCTTCCTTGTGTTCCCTTTAAGCAATTTAGTTTGTCATTAAAAGTTATTATTAAACTCACAAAGCATTTGGCCAAGTGTGAACTGTATGAAAACGAGTTTGAAACTTATCAAACGGCAGATTATGAAACTTTTGGCAACACACACACTTTGAGGGTGTGCCTGCCTCAAGGTGCCCAGCTCAGCATCTCAGAGAAAGAGAGAGAGAGAGAAATAGAGAGAGACAGAGAGAGAGATAGAGAGAGACAGAGAGAGAGATAGAGAACAACAACAAAACAGGCCAGAGGAGTTTGAGACGCACTTTGAGGCATTATTGGCTTTTAATTAAGAAAAACAATGTAAACTTTATTATTTACAATTGGAAAATGTATAAAAGTTTGTCTGAAACTTGCCTAGACCTATTTGTGGTTTTTTTTTGCTTATTTTGAAGAAAATTTGAGGGTGTTTTTAATGAAATTAAAATTTAGCAATTGTAAAACATAAATCATTTGCAAATGTACACAGTATCATTTAAGCTTACACTAAGAATTAAAAGACTTAACATTTTTAAAAATATCTAGCAGTTTGTCATCTAATTATAGGATCCAATTGAAAATTAAACATATCTAAAGCCTAAAATATTAGCAATCTTTAAAACGAAATTTATCATTAATTTTAAATGACAATTTTTCTAACAAATCAAAGTTTAAAAAACTCATAACTCAGCCAAAAAAGCATTAATTCCAATTCGGAAACCACTCCAATGTTAGTTTTTATTAGGTTAACAAATATGCATACTAAATTAAAAATGTAAAATTTTTGACAATTTTTAAACATTTTAACGATGTAACGCCTTATAAAATTATTAAAATTTTTAAAAAATTTAATTTTTCCCGGAGGTGGCTAGATCGATTCCCCTTTTGATGCTGATCAAGAATATATATGATTTATAGGGTCGGAAACGACTCCTTCACATCATTTCAAGCCTCAGACTAAAAGAAAAATGTCACTTATTAGTTGATATTTACTATATTTTTTTAAGGCAATTTTTTAAACAAATCGAAGTTTAAAAATCTCATAACTAAACCAAAAAAGCAAAGATTTTAATTCGGAAAGCTGTCCTATGTTAGTTTTTATAAGGTTAATAAATCTGCATACTCTGTTTAAAATTTTTAAAATTTTAATTTTTTGTCAATTTTTTTGTGACAATTTTAACCATAAAATATTGTGAAAAATTTTAAAAAAATGTAATTTTTGTCAGACATAGCTAGATCGATTCGCCTGTTTATGCTGATCAAGAATATATATGGTTTATAGGTGCGGTAATGATTGCTTCACTTAGTTTTAAGCTTCTGAATGAAATTATAATACCCAGAAAGGGTTCAAATACAACTGTGCGTATACGTAATTTTTCGGACTATAAATGCCTGAAATAGAAAATAAACCAGAAAGGAAGCTAACTTCTGCAACGAAAGCTTGAGTTTGCAAAAGAATAAAAGGATTCAATGCGAAATCAAGAATAATTAAGCCTAAAATATTAGCAGGCTTAGAATCGATATTTATACATAATTTTATATAAAAATTTTTCCATAAAGTCAAAGTTTTATCAAGAATATGCAAGCTTCTAACTACAATTATAATATCCTTGCTAGGGTATTGAAAGTATAGGTAAATTAATCTAGAATTTGAAATGGAAACTTGGGTATTTCCGGTTACAAGTTTTGACACTAAAATTTGAAATTTGAAAGAAGGTTTAAATGTTTTAGAAAAGATATGCATCTATCGACAGGAAATGCCAGATGTGATGTATGTTTGGTTCAAAATATTGCTTTCAATATGGAAATATAATATATAATATATAATATATATTGTAATATCAAGAATACATCACATATATTATATATTTTGCCCCACTGTTTAAAGCATTTTCTCACAAAAACCCTGAACATTTTTTCGAATCCATCTTCCATTTTTCATTCAGGCTACGGACTCGCCTTCAGTCGCAACTCCAAGTACGTGCAGATGTTCAACAAGCGACTGCTTGAGTTCCGGGCAAATGGGGATCTGGAGCGACTGCGTCGCTACTGGATGACGGGCACTTGTCGGCCCGGGAAGCAGGAGCACAAATCCTCGGATCCCTTGGCATTGGAGCAGTTCCTTTCGGCATTCCTCCTGCTGATGGCAGGGATCCTGCTGGCGGCACTGCTGCTGCTGCTGGAACATGTCTACTTCAAGTACATAAGGAAACGTTTGGCCAAAAAGGATGGTGGTCATTGTTGCGCCCTCATATCCCTGTCGATGGGCAAGTCGTTGACTTTCCGCGGAGCGGTATACGAGGCCACCGAGATCCTGAAGAAGCATCGCTGCAATGATCCCATTTGTGACACGCACCTGTGGAAGGTGAAACACGAGCTGGACATGTCCCGGCTGCGTGTCCGGCAGCTGGAGAAGGTGATGGACAAGCATGGGATCAAGGCGCCGCAATTGAGGTGAGGATTTTGCCAAGAGTCTTTGCTCGGAAAATATTTCTAATTAATTGTCCTTGTATCCTATTTACAGGCTGGCCTCCTCCTCGGATCTGCTGAACCATCATCATCTAAAGGAACGGCCACCGTTGCTGGGCAACCTGAGTCTTGCCGCCAGCGCCCAAGATCTATACAGGTGGTAAGTTTTCTTTGTGCATGCTGTGCATGGTTATGGTTACCTCCTCTACCCCCAGCACGTGTCCTGTATAGTACATATCGCATTGTAATTAAATTAAGCAATTGCTTGAAATAACATTCCAGCTTTCTTCATTTCCATTTCCATCTTCCCCCATTCCTATATCGTCCTTTTGTGTTGTTCTTTCCGGAGACGGTAGTAGTAGTAGTCCAGGCTAATGATGTCGGTGGCTACAGCTGCTGTCCCTTTGGGGCATTCACTCTGACTTTGCGACGCCCTAATATAAATATATGGAAATGACTTTATTAAATTACTTTATCTCGGTTCCTGATTCGATGCCAGTCGGCGAGAGGACACAGTCCCTGGTTATAGTCTTAGTTATAGCACAATTTCCGACAGTTCCTGTTGTCATTCAGCAGTCAGGAGCTTTGTGTGTAGGTCCTTCCATTTGCATATCGCCGCTTACAATGGGTTTCTCTGGCTACTGAATGGGGGCGTCGGTTTGTGGCTGCCCCTCACCGGTAATCGGATGTGGGAACGCTTTACGACCCCCCAAACACACACACAGTCCTCTCTTTTCTCCTTGGTCCTGCAGGACTAGCAATTAACGGATTCGGACGGGGGGTGGGAGCAGTAGCAGACCCGGCATCCGCATCACCCCGAATGGGTCACCTAGTCACCCGGTCAATCACTCACTCACTCCTTCCTGTGCAACGCCTGTCATTCATGTGGCTTTTAGGATTATAAATCCAGTTTCAGCAATATAATGGCTCTTAGTTTTTGCGAAAACGTGTTTTTTTTTGCCTGTGCTTAATTCTGATTAGCTAGAGGTAGAGGTGTCCTGCCTGCAATGTCCTGCAACTATGATTAGCTAGAGGTAGAGGTGTCCTGCCTGCAATGTCCTGCAACTATGATTAGCTAGAGGTAGAGGTGTCCTGCCTGCAATGTCCTGCACCTATGATGCTGCCATCACCGAGTTAAGGTCATTTCATAATTAAAAGGTCAAACTCTGGAGGCTTCCCAACCATTGTCATGGTCTTATGTCCCTCTGTGTGTGTGAGTGTCCTGGCGCTTATCAAGGTGCTACAAGCAGGCTCTCACACACACACACATGGCAACATTTGCATTAATTACCGGCAAGTAAACAGTCCCAGAGCCAAGTGAGGCTACCTTGTGGGATGAAACTGGCATTGAGGTGTCCTTTATTCAGTCCAATGTCCTTTCTGCGTCCCCCTTTTGTATGCATTATGTGGCGTGTCCAAGCTTCAAAGGAGTTAAGGATTCTCCAGATTCGATTTCCGATTTGCCTTATGCTCTCTGCTCATCATTATAGATGACCAGATACAGGTGAAACTTTTCAGCGTTTCCAAATTGTGCAAATTAACTTGAAGATTGTTCAAAAAGGGAAATGTCGAAGGAGTAGGAGGAGGTTCACACGTGAAAAACAAAAACCCCCCGCACTGAAAAGCACTTCAAAAAGTTTGGCCAAAAAGTTGACTGATAAATGGATGATGATGGATACGATGGACAGCAATGATACCCAAGGGTATAACCCTTTCACTGGGAAAGAGAGAGAAAGCATTGAGGCACGATCCTCCTCGCTTTTCGGATTTACTTTTTTTTGCCACTAATTTATTTACATGCGAACCCTTGAGTGCTGCTCGCCCCGTTTGGACTCTTGATTGATTGATGATGCCCCCAGGTCTTGCCCCAAGACCCGACCGAAGTTCCCTCTCTCTTTAATGCTGTTCCTGCTACCATTATGGGGTTCCCCCTTCTGCTTATAGTACACACACCCACACACACACACACATCTGCCATTAGCAGCACATCCCGCATCCCGGCCAGAGGCCTCGACTGATTACAATTTGTCACATTTTTCATTGGCTGGCAGGCTAATTAGCATAGCCCAGAACGCATGTCCTGTGAGCCACTGCACCATCCTACCGCCCATCCCTGCCCTACCCTACCCTGTCTATGTATATTCACACACATCGTATATATATCTGTACAGCATGCTTGGCGTAAATTAGCAAAACCTCTACATGTCGTATATAGAGCCTAGATCCCGAATTAAACCCACTAACGCCCGGGGGCATACACGTTCCCGTTCCCATTTCCGTTTCACGTTCTCGTTCTCGGATCACAGGTCGTACAAGACGGAAATCGCCGAAATGGAGACGGTGCTGTGAAGTGGAAGTGAAATGAACTGCGGCACTGGGGCAGATGTTCCTGCCATCCTAGGACGAGTGTGTCTAATCAAAATCAACGTTTCAAATAAAATGTAAACTGAAAGCTTTCGAAAAGTTAAGAGAAATGGATACAAGATAGGGCGAGTTAGAGAGTTAGCGAGTTAGCAAAGGAGAGCGAGTTAGCAAGGAGAAGTGAAGAAGTACCCAAAGCGCCTCACACGAAAGACGACGAGCAACCGCAGCCATGAAACCCAAAGATTGTATAAAGTTAAACTAAATGTAAAACAGTAAAAACAGTAAAAACCTAAACTTAACTTAAAATGAAGGAAGAAACAAACAAACCCAAGCAGCCGCCTAACGAGTAATTCATAAAATAAGTTTTAAAAGCAAATCGAACGAACGAGAGAGCGTAAGGAGCGAGAAGCGAGAAGCAAGAAGCGAGAGATCAACCGTTACACTTTTGGCGATTGAACTGTTAAACGTTAACAAGAAAGAGGCAGCGAGACACGAAGAAGATGAGAATAATCAGTCCCATGAGAAGGATGCTGTATGTGTATGTAATCCGTTTGATTGTTTGTAATCGTTGTTTTGTTTGTTGTCTTTTTTTGGATAGTAATATTTATGAGGAAAAAAAAACAAAATCATACCCAAACGAGGGACGCGCAGGCTGCCACGCCCATTATAAAATATACACATTAACAGATTTATATGTATTTACCTTGCTATATGATTACGACGATATAAATGTTATTGCATATACACCTACATATACATACATATACATATACATTTAAAGAAACAAACGAAAAAAAACGAAGAAAACCAACAACAAAAATATTTACATATGAATATACATGTGTGTATGTATGTATGTACTTATATTTTTTCTGATTTTGATAAGGAAAATTGCTTATGTGCCGCCAACACAAAAAACGTAAAAAAAAAAACAAGTAAAAATAATTAACAACTAATAATTAAAAACTAACAACTAACAATTAAAAACCACAACAAAAAACAGAAAAGAAAGATGAGAGAAATAAACACTATAGCTATACATTTTCTTCTCGCTAGGAGAGATAATCACACGACCTTCGAGGCTTTCCTTTTTTAGTTGCTCCTTTTTACCACTTAGATGCTTTCTATTTTTGCCAGCTTTCCATTTGTTTTCACTCACTTTCATTGCCGCCTGCTCGCCGCAGAGAGAAATTGAGAGGGAGAGAGAAAGTGGGGATGACCCCCGAGAACTCAAAGCCAAATTAAATGGAGTCTCTCTTGCATGATACAATTATACAAGGTAGTCTCGTCGGAAGAAATCTGTTAGCTCTACTAATTTTAAAGGAGTAATTTATTAATTAAATAGCCCGCTATATACTCCATTGCATCCTTTGTTAACTTGGCCCAATTCTACGACATAAAATGCAAAAAAATCATGTAGCAGGCAACCTTTCACTATGAAAAACCCCTCACTGAAGCAAAACCCGAGCACTTTCGATAGCCGACGAGACTACCTTCGGTAATTGTATCATGGCCTAACGGTTAATGCAAAACACACTCTCTTTCTCACTCTCTCTCTCTCACCCAGCACATCCTTTCTCGACAAACACACGCACGCACACAAAGCAACACTCGCCGCAATTGGTAAGAGAGATAAAACGGTATATTTATAAACGTGCATGTGCATGCATATGCATTGTTGTTATGGCGAGCAAAATGTGCTTAAATCACAGAAATTAAAGTAAACTCAAAATCGAATTAAATATGTACAAAGGTTAAAACAAACGATTAAACACATAAAAAAAAAAAACAAAAAATTAACAAAAAATCAAAGTAAATAATGATGAGAACTAAACAGGAGAGTTAAGAGTTGGAGTTGGTGGAGTAGAGGAGAATCAGAGGAAGGGGAGAAATATAACCGTTTGTGTTGGTATTTGTTTATGTGTGTGTGTCTTCTAAGTGTTTAGCGAGGATTACTATACTCAGAAAACGAATACGAAAACGAGATGATAATGAAAACGAAAGGGAAAACCAAAGTAAATGTAAAAGAGATGAAAATTTAACTAACAATCTTCAGTCGGTGTGCCAACTACAAACACTAACGAACTTGAATGCAATTTTACACAACCAAACACACACACACACACACACGTGTGCCGATGTGTGTTGTGCGCTTCTTTGAGACTCTTTTCGTTATTCAATTAAAACCGTTATGGGTTCCGTTTCCGTTCCGTTTCGTTCTGTTCTGTTCTGTTCCGTTTCCACTCCTCTGATTTCCGTTTCCGTTTAAAACGGCAGCGGCAACGGGAGGCGAGCGAGCAGGACAGCAACAACACAACTACAACTACAAAAACACTGCTAACACTACCACTACCAACTATACGACCCCCACACGAATGAGACGGACGAGACAAATACAACAAGAAACAACAAAAACAAACAACAAGAACAATGTTAACAGCAAATCAAGAAAACAAAACAAAGGAACTTATTGAGTTTTATTTGCAAAAGAGTGATTTTTTGTAGTGGAAAAAAAAACAAATATTTTATACACAAGTTACGGATGGATTGCATGGCGGAGAACATAGCGAAATGTTAATTATTACGTATATGTATATATTTTTTAAGACAAATTGTTCAGATTTATTATACGAGTACTAACAAGAAAAAAAAGAAGAAGGAAAACAAACTAAAACGAATACTGGCAAAGAGGAGTTTGCAGTTAGTATTAAAACAAAACAAAAAAGAAAAAGAAAACACCCGAAATGACAGATAACGGGAGCCGAAGGAAATGAGAACAGAAAGAGAAAGGAAGAGGAAAGTGGGAGAGGTGGAATGAGAAAACAAAACCTTTACGGACAAATTAAAACAAGTAAAACAAGTTAACATTACATTATATAAGTAGTTAGTAATTTAAAACTAAACCCAAAAAAATAAGCGTAATCACGACAAATGATACTAAAAGCATAAAAAAAAAAAAACAAAAAACAAAAGGTTTATGTATACAAAAGATGTTTTTTTTTTTTAAATATTATTAATGTTATTAAGTTATGAGTACGAATAAATGAGAGCGGACATCTCCAAAACACACACTCACGACACCCACAATGTCACACTGTCCGAGCCCAAAAACATATAACGAGTGCATTTTGTTAGCAAAAGTAACGAGAAGAAAGGCATAGCGAGTAAATCGAATCGAACTCGAAAACGAATCAATTTTTAAATGCATTACAAAAAAAAAACTCCGCAAAGACAGAAACTCATTCAAACTAAGTAAGTCTAGTTGAAACTAAACAACTGTCCAGGCGGTGGAGCGTGTCAGCAAATCGTATTTACACACACTCACACACACTCACACACAGAAAAACCACATTTTTTAACCAGAGAGCGTTTCACGTACATAAAACATAAAACTAAGCGAAATGGAATATGCGTACATTGTTGTGGTAGTTACAGGTGGCGAGGCATACACGTAAATTACAATATAACAAACCAACTTGCAATAAATGTGTATACAAAAAAAAAAAAAACAACAAACAATAGTATTTGAAATTGCGGGTAAAATTCAAATAAGAAGACATCAACTGAAAGCTGGCTGCTATGACTCTGGATTTGGGAATCGATAAATTACAGGGTTCTTATTATTTTCTTTCAAACCATATCGCGGTAGGACTCTCGATATACGATATTTTATGGTCTCTAAGGATGCGATATCTCACTATCGATATATCGATTATGATTTACATCGATGTTGCTGTACTTCTACCACATAATGCCACCTGTGCCACCACTGGCAACGACAAATAATAACGATCGAAACTTTAAAACGCGAACAACGACCGCTCGCGGGGCTAACGGCTAACAGCAACAACAATTAAAACCGAAGCAGCAGCGAAAGCAACAAAAGCCGCGCATCGCAAAAAACTGGTTTGTGCAATTAGCATGCACGTCAATTGATTTGATCGCTCAACGTTTTGGCGACTCCTCTTCGCTATTTTTTTTTTCCAATGTATTATTTTCAGTCTGAGTAATAAATCGGACGTCCCATGATGATGATGATGGCCACCAGTGGCAGAAGCCGGGGCATTGCCTTCGTCGCCTGGACGGTGTTCGCCTTGCTGCTGACGCACGGCGGCGATGTTGTGGATGCACGCCGTAACCAGGGCAACGGCAATCGCAAGACCTCCTCCTCGTCCGGCTCTGGTTCCTCCTCGAACTATGGCCATGTGACGCAGCCAAGCTATAATACCAATGGTCATGCAGCCGGCGGCAATTCGCATGCGGATGCTGCCAAGCTTAGCTACTCGAACTACAACTCGCAACCGAATCGTCCGGCGGCAGCAGCAGGAGCTGGCGCTGGCGCTGGCGCTGGTGCCGCTCCGCAACCGGGTTGGAATGTGCCCCAGGGACCGCCACCAGCTTACTCTGCCTCCAATCCTGTCGGCGGTGCCAGACCCAATATGCACGAAGCACCGCCGGCCTATCATGCTCCCAATTATGGTGCCGCTCCTCCTAGTTATGGTGCCGCCACCCAGAATCATGGCAATCAGTATTCTTCGGGTGTGCCAGCTGGAGCTACGTACTATCCGGCAGCGGGCGGACATGCCGGCGGTTATCCATCAAACTTGCCAGCTGGTGCTACCTATTACCCATCGGCTGGACATGTTCCCATGGCTGGTGGCTACCATCCGGTTGCTGCTGCTCCACCGCCAGGTGCCACCTACTATCAGGCAGGTTCTGCCCTTCCCCCAGGTGCCACCTACTACTCGGCACCGCCGCAGCAGTCCTCCTCTGGCCTGGGTTTCGGTAAGTTTTTCTTGAATTTTCTATTGCTTTTCTCCCTCCCCGCCCTAAACTAAATATTTTATTTGTTGGTGTGCAGGCACTGGTCTCCTTGCTGGCGGCCTGGGCGGCGCTCTGCTGGGCCATGCTCTCACACCCTCCGGTGGCAGTAGCTCTGCACCCGTGGCCGCAGCTCCGGCAGCTGCTGGCCAGGATCGCATCATTATTATCAACAATGGTGTGCCGATGAATGCCACCGATGGAACAACAGTGATTAATGCCAGTGGTGTGGCAGCGGCACCAGGAGCAGCACCTGCTGGAGCTGCAGCACCACCAATGAATGGAACACAAGAGGCCGCTCAGCCTGCTCCCATGGCACCCATGGCTCCCTTTAACCCGGAGGCCTCGAATATGACCGGAACAGATGCAGCAGCTGCTCCGCCACCAGCAGGAGGCATTATTTGCGTTCCCACAAAGGTCAACGAAACGGATCCCAATGATAGTACCAAAATGGTGGAAGTAGAGAAGATTGCCTGCTATCCGGCACCGCCACCACCAGCGGCTCCTGCTGGCGAGGGTCCTGCACCCTTGGCGCCCATGGCACCCGCACAGCCCGGTTCCCAGCAGGTCCAACAGGCCCCCGATGTGGCTGCCCCTGTGCAGGCTTCGGTGAAGTCAAACCAAGTGACCAGCGGACAGGGACAATTGGGTGGCAGCATGCTGCTGTTGCTGCTGCTGGCAATGACTTGCCTGGCCAAGCGGGGATTCGCTGGCTACTAAAGAAGGGAGTGGGAATGGGAATGGGAATGGTAACGAGAACCATATATTTCCCCTATTCAAAAGCTACTCTCTCCCTCGTTTGTATTCAACTGTACCTCGGAACCCCAGCTTTTGTCATGGCCTTGGAATGAATGCTTGTGTTTGCACTGGCCCAAGATCGATATTCCAGGGCGCTAATTGGACACAACAAAAAAATTTTGTTAATTTAAGCCGTACCGTACCATTCCCCAGCAGAAAATGTCCCCTATATAGAGATACCCCTTTTTTTTCTATATTCCCTATTCCGTATTCCATTTATAGTATTCAAGTTCCTCCCCCTTCACTCAGCCTTCAATTGTGATGATTGCAATGGGAAAACCAAGGGGTAACCAGAACCCCATAAAAGCAACGTGAATCTCGTCCCAGTGTGCGCTTGAAAGACATTCGAATATCTAACTATACAAATAACTATATATATTATATACTAATAATAGCCCCCAACTAGAATTCCCTGACAAAAAAAGAAAGAAAAACGATGTCAGTTTCTCACTCACTAAAAGTGTATATTTTTGCTAGAATTGTTACTCGTAATTGTTGCTTGTTTATGTGTAATTGTTGTAAGCTGAAACCCATTTGTTGCACTTGGAAATTGTTGAAAATAAAAGCTTTTCGCCTACACCCAGAGCCCTCGACACTTTTTGCTATTATTCAGCGTTAACTATATATGGTACCGGACTGTAGATAATGGTCATTATTTTTGACTGACAGCAGCCAGCTCAGTGTGTTTTCTCCAACGTTATGACTGGATAAACAACTAAACGGAACACCATATAGATAATAATAATGATGAAATAAATCGGTAAATATTTAGAAACCTCAACAGCAAACGTCGTCGCAAAGCAGTTGCTTATGCGAATTTTGAATGCTCTGTGATGGGTTTTTTTTCTAATAATAATAAAACAAACAAACAAGAATGGAAGGGTACTTCGGTAACTCGAAGAGAGAACACTTTTTTGTATTAGTTATTTAATACATTTAAAGATTGATTGATTGATTTCTAAGAGAAAATTGTGAATGTCAAGCCTACAATGACTTGCAACTTATGTAAGTGTTAGTATTATGAAAATTTCTAGAAGAAAATGGAAACTTACCAAAAATATAGGATCTTGATATGTATTATAATATAAATTATTACTGTTGATGTCTTGCCCCGCCTATTGGATACTCTGGCTTTCACAGCTCGTATGCTTTTCTGTACTCACCACCGTCTTTTGAACTTGTTTCGAATGCGTTTCTTCTCCATTCTCAAGAGGAATATCACCAATATACGACGAACGATGGGAATCCTTTCCTGGCACATGAAATATATGAACACAACCGATATTCCGCTGCAAAAAAGTATTTGAAGAACAAATTTTAATGCCAGAAACTTGAAAGGGAAAGAATTTTAACACTTTTTGTTTTGTTTTAGAAAATCAGAGAAAATTATGTATACACAGTTTGAAATCTGGTGATTGACTGAATAATGCGAAGGGAACAAAAGGAAAAGGACAACTACGTTTGAACTTCGAGAAAAGTCATGGCATACTTGGGAAACAGGATTCGTTGTTTTTTAACTATAACAGCTTGGCTTTTCTTTAAGTGCTAAATACCTTTGTTTTTTAGGGACTAAATTAGCACATATGTAAATTATAATCTTAGCATAAGGATTACACAAATACATAATAATAATAATTTAATAATAAAACGAATCATTCAATAATTTAACTTAGGAAAATTGAAATTGTAATATTTATTGCAGTGAAAATACGTCATAACTCAGTCGAAAATGCATTAATTTTCAATCGGAAAACGTTCCTATGCTAGTTTTTATCAGCTTTATAAATCTGTATACTCAATTTGAAATGTTAAAATTTTAATTTTTTGCCAATTTTTTTGTGACAATTTTAACCTTAAAAAATAATGAAAAATTTTTAAAAATTAAATTTTTGTCAGACATAGCTAGTTCGATTCGTCTTTTAATGCTGATCAAGAATATATATGATTTATAGGGTCGGAAATGGCTCCTTCACATCATTACAAGCTTCTGACTAAAAGTAAAATGTCAATTTTTAGTCGATATTTACTATATTTTTATAAGGCAATTTATTAAACAAATCGAAAATTTAAAAAACTCATAACACAGCCAAAAAAGCATTAATTTTAATTCGGAAACCTTTTCTATGCTAGTTTTTATTAGAATTATAAATCTGCATACTCAATTTAAAATTTAAAAAAATTACAATTTTTACCAACTTTTTGAATTTCAATTTTAACAATTTTAGCCCCTTAAAATTTTTTTAAATTTTGAAAAAATTACAATTTTCGTCGGACATAGCTAGATCGATTCAGCTGTTAATGCTGATCAAGAATATATATGGTTTATAGGGTCGGAAATGACTCCTTCACTGCGTTGCAGGGTTTTATCTGAAATTATAATACCCTGCAAGGGTTTGAAAATGATATAATAGGAATTCCTTCATAGCCTTGGTTTTTAAGAACTAAAATAGCTTACAAAATTATCTTTATAAAAGGTTTGCGAATATAAATAAAAGTAATAATAATAATAACTAAACATTAATAGAAATACTTTAATAAACCTACTTAGGCCTTCAATCGTTATGCTTTCTTCAAGGGCATTCAAAAACTTTCACCAAATGCTTGCCAATGGCAAAAAGTAATAAAAAACAAGTTACGAAAGAAAAAGTTAAATAAACAAACACCAAATAGAGCGAGATAGACAAAGGTAGCGTGAGGGTATAGCTTTTTTGCTCATTAGTGGATATATCAGAGCAAGAAAGCTTTAACAAAATAGTATTTCAAATGCAGAGCTAGAGCAGAGATATACAGATCTCTCTAGACTGATTTCGTTTACATCTTTTTGAACAATTACAATAAAATTACAAACATATAAAGCTCTATAGAGAGTTATTACATAAAATGAAATCTATTAGTAAACCCACAATGAAAAACAATGAATTTTCTTAAGGAGAATCACACCCCATAGGCTTTTATTTGGCGGCGATCAAACCCCCAAGGGTTTTCTTATTCCAGAGTTCACAACTTGTTTGTTTTGCGGGTGTAAAAACACGAGCTCATCTCTTCCGAGTCGTGAGATTATTTAATAAAAACGAATCAGGCAATACAGGATGATCATTGTAAACGTTTGAATTTGTTTGTATTGTGTGTGTTTACTCGGCATCGTCGTCCTCGTCGTCGTTGGAGCTGATCCTGAAGTAACGCAGCTCGTACGAGTCCTTCTCGTTGGCAACCACACGGATCCAGTCACGCAGGCTGTTCTTCTTCAAGTACTTCTTGGTGAGGTACTTCAGGTAGGCCTTGGAGAAGTGCACATCGGAGCTGACGTGCAGCTTGAGCTTGGTACGCTCAAAGGTGACATTGTTGCCCAGATTGTTCACCTTGCCGTTGACCTTAAGGCGAGCCTTGACGTACTTCTCCTGCGAGTTGGTAAATAGTTAAGATTTCTTCGATTAGTTTCGTTTCTTATTTCGAGAGCATATGGAAAATGTATAGTATAGTATACAAAGTTTTGAATGTCTCTTTCTTTGTTAAGGCCAAGAGTCAACTGATCAAGAACAGAAGGCCCAAATAAAGAAGAGTGACCAATTTTTTAATTTGCCACTGAGTACACTGCCATCAGAGCGACGCTTCAAGCTCACTCTCTGACGGCAAATCGGCGTGGCCTATTATTTATAAAGATTTGCAATGATTTTTAAATGAAATTGCATTAAATATAGAGTTATTCACATTGTCTTTAAATCAGACGTCAAAGTTTATTGACGCTGCTATATACACAAGTGCAATAAATCTATATTTTCTTTGATATATCGAAACAATACAATCGAAAAAGACTATTTACAAAACATTTTACTGATTTAAATCATTAATAAAGATATTTAAATGCTAAATTTAAAGTTTTTCTATATTATAAGTATTGATATTACAAAATTTACCATATTTACTATTAATTTACATATTTTTCAATATTTAAAGTTTCGATATATCAAAGTTTATGATACTTTCAATATGATATCAAGCTTTAACTCTCTACATACATCCCTAGTTAATCCTATTTAAATTGTAGTTACCTGATCCACTTGGTAGGAAAGGGCGACGTATCCATCTAGCGCCCTGCTCTAAAATTCTTGGCGCGTTCAGCGCTCTCGGTTTGCCCACTTAGCGGGTGTGTCTGTGTCTCAAGGAAAATTAGATATACGAGGGAGTTTGTAACCTCCAATCTTCAGTCCTGCAAAGTTGGGAAAACCTGCAGGTGTCACGACGCTTGGACAACCTATGAGCAGGGCGCACTATGAATTTTGGCCTGAGGCAATCACGGTTGTGATTGCAACTCAATCCCAGGGCCCACCACGTGGCGGTACACATAGCACGGCTTGACGCTGTTCACAGACGGTTGCACCACTGGCCAGTGCCAGGTCACTGGCGGTCAATGGCTACCCCGTTGTGCAGTGCCCAGAGCCCCTTGTCGGAAACGCGTGTGCCCAAAATGAGAAGGCAGCGAAGAAGCAATACGTTTTTTTCAGGATATCGGACGGAGATTCTCAAAAGATTCTATAAAGCTAAGCTAATCTGTTCCAGAAGTTGTTAACCGCAGGCGGCACGGCAAGAGTCCGCGAGCAGTTTATCGCTTAATGGATGTGAGGCTTCGATGTAACCACAACTTTTTATCCATAGCCCCTGGCTAACTTGGGGGCAATGGAAAGCTTGGTGCGGTAGAAACTGATGCCAAGGAGCGCTGCTCTTCTTCTACTTTTGTCTTTTGTCTACTTACGAAATCGGCCACATCCATGATGCTGTCCTCAGCAATGTTGGTGCAGTCGATGGTGAAGCGCAGGGCGACCTTCTTCTTCTTCTGGCCCTTGCCGCGCAGCACATTCTTCTTCACCACCTTGCTGGGAGCAGGGGCAGCCTTTGCCTTGGGCTTTGGTGCCGGCTTGGCGGCGGGAGCAGCAGCGGCAGCTGGTGCAGCAGCAGCCGGAGCAGCGGCAGCGGCCGGGGCAGCCTTGGCGGGAGCGGCCTTCTTGGCCGGAGGAGCGGCAGCCGGGGTGGAGGCAGCCTTCTTGGCCGGAGCAGCCTTGGCAGCGGCAGCGGGAGCTGGGGCAGCCTTGGCGTCCTTCTTCGGGGCAGCGGCAGCAGCAGCTGGGGCCTTCTTGCCGGCAGCAGCAGCGGGCTTGGCGGCCGCTGGCTTGGCAGCTGCGGGCTTGGCGGCAGCAGCGGCGGCTGCCTTGGCGGCCTCCGGTGCCTTCTTCACATTCTTGGCGGCAGCGGCGGCGGCGGGCTTGGCGGCCTCAGCCTTGGGCTTCTCCACCTTGCCCTTGGCGGCAGCGGCGGCGGGAGCGGCCTTCTTTTCGGCCGGCTTGGCGGCCGTCTTGGAATCACCCTTGTTGGTCTTGGCCTAATCACATAACAGGAACAAAAAAAAAACACATATTATGTATCGTTTTTCCGGGCACTTTCGCGTATTATCTCGACACAATTCCACCGCCAGTGTGTGGCCCACAGTTTGACGATTCATATTTTCATACTTTGGCACACTCTGAACAGGGGATGGGCCGAAATATCTGCGATTTTCCGCGCACTTACAGTTGGAGCCATCTTGTCAGTCGAAAACCACGAAGAAAAAGAACAGAAAACGGAAGGGCTGTCAACCAAGAGGAGCTGTCAAAACAACGATTGCTATCGATGTTATTGCCTATCGATAAACGTAACCGGCGATACGTGGAATGTTTTCCAACACTTGCCGAGAAATTGAGCGAAGGAGAGAGGTAAATTGACTTAATTGCACTCTCTATCTCTGAGCAGGAGAAGTGGGAACACATTTCACATAATAAAAAAAATATTGATATAATAAATAATTTATATCTTTTAATGTTTTGTTCAAGATGTAGTATTTTATGGTATTTAAGGCACACTGGGCGGTATTTAGTATTTTTACTGATGCAATCGATAAGGGAACTATCGCGTTCATCGATTAGTTTAATCGCACTAATTGTGAATTTCTCTCGCCGCTAAATTGAGTTGATCTTTCATCTCTCTCTAACACATATACTTCTTACGGAAGAAAAAGCTGTTAAATTGGGATTTTAAATATTTAAATTCTTAGGAAACTAAAGCTTATAATAACAATCATATATACAACAAGAAAAGTAGCTAACTTCGGCAAGCCGAAGTTTGTGTAAATATACAAAAAACAGAGAATAAAGAGAATACATAAACATATTTAAGTATTTAAATCAATAAGCTGCAAATAAATAGTGTTTGCAAAATTAATATTTTTATTATGTTACAAAAACGATAGCTGTGGGGTGAATGTCGCACGTAATTTCACATAAATTTGTTGTGGCCCAGGCGAGGGAGACATGATTTGAACTTATGATAACACTATGGATAAGGATATGTTAAGGATAGACCCATTCTATTTCGAAATCAGGGTCTTGAAAACCGTGGGACACTTGTGGGCTGGTAAATGGCGATAGCAATAGGTCTTAATGGCATCCAAATCAATATCAGCATCCGGAGAGACAATGCAAATGACGCCAAGACGATGACCCCACACCTTGTTGGGTATTCCCAGGACGGCAACATCGTTAATGGATGGATGTGAGATCAATACCTTCTTGATCTCTGAACCATAGACTTTGTAACCGCCCACGGTGAAGACATCGCTTATCTTGCTTAGGAAATAAAAATTCCCATTCTGATAGGCACAAATATCGCCAGTCTTGACGAAACCATCGGGTGTCTCCTCCACTTTACACCCAATTGCTTCCGGATCGATTTGACGGCCATTAATCCCACCGCCCAGAGATTGGGATACCATATCTGACTTGGCTATCTGAAGTTCACCGATGACAGTCTGCGAGATGGGCAGATCGCTGCCTAAATCCATATCCGATTGGATGAGACCATGATCCACATTGCCGCCAAGTTCATTTTTGCAGGTAATTAGCTCTGTGCCCTTGCTGCTAATTAGCCGAGCGGTCACGCCCTTGAGTGGTGCACCCAGTGTGCCCGGACGATAGTCCACTTTCTCTGAAGTTACATTCGGATTTGGAGTTGGTGACGTTGTGGTTGCTGTTGTTGATGATGTGTTGCCATTACTGGCACCTATTGGATCTTCCAAGGGATGACCCAAAACGAGGCCCGTTTCCACCATGCCATAGTATTCGTATATATTCTGACCCGTAATCTCACGCCAACGCTGGAACACTGAATCCGGTAGCAAGGCATAACCGGTAGCCATCAGACGAATCCTTTGCCGGCAATGATTCAAAATGTATTCCACCATTCGTGAATCCTTGGCAAACATCTTGTCATATTCCGCAATTAGACGCTTGTATACAATGGGCATGGCCAGGAAGATGGTGACACGCTGCTTGGTGGGACTATTAATGCCCAGGAGGGCACTCCAGGCATTGTGACAATCGAATTTCTGCTGCAGGATCACGGTTCCGCCCACACTGAGGATCCCTCCGACGGCGGCATTCATGCGATTTAACGAGAGAATTGGTAGCAGGCAGTCCGAGGACGATAGATGCCAACTGTCGATGAGGCAACGGATATGGGCATCGATATTGCGATGGGAGAGCAGCACTGCCTTCGGTTTATTCACTGAATTTGGTGTGTGAACTAGCATGGCCGGTGCACCGGCATAAAAGTCACTCGGCAGTGTGCCCTCGGTGAGGAGGTCACCCTGGGTGCTCACCAGTTGCTTCACATACATCGATGTGGAGGATACACTCTCCGCCGGTGGCACAAAGCTATGATTCAGGACTATAGTGGCTGACTGGAGGCCCAGTGAGATTTCTTGGGCCATTTCTTCGAATTCGGGTGTGGCTATCAGTAGCTTGGCCTTGCATCCTGTGGCCTGTGAACGCAGGTGCTCAATGGGTTGTCCACATTCCAGGGGCACAGCCACCTGACCAGAAATCCAGCAGCTCCATTGGATGGCTATCCAGAGGGCATTGCTCGAACAAAGGTAAGCCACATTCGAGAGTGAGGCACTGCCTGAGGGGAAGTTAGATGTGATTAATATATGTTTACAGGATTATCATAGATTTTTACTATAAAACTTAATCCAATCGATGTGAATTTTGGTATAGGAAGAGAAATGGGTTTAAGAAAGGATCATGTAAAGGCTCAGTCTTAAGGGAAGTATATTTGATTAGATATTGAAAAGCAAATATGATCAAATGTATACTAAATTCAAACAGATCCTTGTAAATATTGGTACTTGGTAAGAATGGAGCCTAAGAAAAGATCATTAAAAGAGATTGCCAACCGGAAAGGATATTTGATAAGAAATTTAGAAGCATTGAGACTTAAGTTGTCCCTTAATTTTGGTATTTAAGGAGAATAGAACCCAAAGAAGGATCATGAAGAAATTAAGAAGCATTGAGACTTAAGTTGTCCCTTAAATTTGGTATTTAAGGAGAATAGAACCCAAAGAAGGATCATGATGCTTGATCTGTTTAAGGGATTATAGATATTTTATAGAGGATCCTATATCACATATCAATTTATAAAATTAAAGCTTGAAACCCGTATAAAATGATATATAGATTTATATATACCTATTATACTGATACTCCTATTCCTTAACTCACCACATATATTCGAAATCTGTATGGCCAGACGTTTGGCCACCAAATAGAGCTGAAAATAGGTGTATTCCCCGTTGATATCCTTCACGGCGATCTCGTCCGGATAGAGCATGGCCCGCTTGAAGGTGGGTACAACCAGATTGCTGCGCACGTCCTCCTCGAAGCTGTGTCGCAGCTTCTCAATGAAGCCATCCTGCGATTATCCATTACTCAATCATTAATCCATTATTCTTCGAGATATATGAAGTCGGAATAATATATTATTCACTTACCTTATGTATCAGCTCGGCGGAGCAGAGACGAATCAATGGACGCAGTCGCAAATGTTGGCAACGGCGAAGTAGAATCATTTTTACTTTTGTTTTATTAATATTTTGTATCTTATTATTATTTTTTTCGATTTATTTTCACTGGTGTAGTTGTATAGGTGAGAAAAGTGAGTAAGGGAGGCGGAGATGCAGAACTTAACTACGATTTTCCGGTGGTTGTTCCAATTGACAAGCCAAAACGTTCAAATGATTTTTGCCGTTTTATTCAAGGCACACTTCATTAGATCTTCGAAATACTAGACTACGGTGAGATTTTAGGGGTATATAGAGTCTTATAAATAATACACAAGCATTAAATATAGTGTAGAAGAAATCCTTAAAGTTAAACTATAAACAAATATAACGTAAATTATATTGATATCTTATTTTATATGAAAAACAAAAAGGAAAGTTAACTTCAGGAAAACAAAGGCCATAAATCGATTTTTAACATAGCTATATCCATGCTATAAACCAATATTATCTTTCTTAAATCGGACCACTATAATCGGACAAATTGTAGTATTTTATATTTAACATTGTAGTCGCAGCATACAATGAAATATAAAACCTTTGCTTGTACTGTGCAGGCAAAGCTTATTATAAAATAAAACTCATTTATTTTGTTTCGTTCGATATTTTTTTGTGGTTTTTTATTTACACAATAATAGGTTCGCAGACACAAAAAATAATAATTATACAATAGTCATAATCGTAAACGTAAAGTAAGTAAAAAAATTATGTTATTTCAAGTAAATATGTACGTCACAAATTTTTATTTTGGTTTTTTTTTTTGTGACCTTTTGCATAATACCCAAAAAAATAATATTGTGGTTATTTCAACGGATCCTGGCTTGGGAACTTGGAACGTGCACGGGGACTTAAAGGGGAGCTCTTGGGGTCTTAAAGTTCCACAGCACTTAAAAAAATACACACACACAAAAAAACACCTATATTTACAGTCTATTGATAGAAAGATTTGTTTTCGGAGATTTCTCGGGTTGTATATGGCATTAAAATGATGTTCCTATGGCAGCTATATAGATTTATATACGATTTTTCATAAAAGAAAACCGTATAGGAATATAACAATTCGAGTTATGGCAGCGCAATACCCTATGGATGGATAGTTGAAACGGAAAATAATTACAAATTTGAGGGGTGTATCTCTTATAACATATATATAAATATAAAAAACACACACATATATAGATATATATATAGTTTATGAATTACAAATTACACACACATTTAGTGTTAAAAATTTGTGAGTTCATTTCTTTTGTGAGGGATCTCTCCTCGAGTGCAAGTGGCGGTGGCAGTGTCTGTGCTGGTTACAAAATTTAACAATTCTATACAATAATCACAGTTAAATTTAACAAAGAAATGATAAACAAAAGTAATAAATAAAAGAACGATTTGAATGGCTGGCGGTTGGGCTAATATTCGAATATTTTTAATTTGCGAGATTCTATTAAAGATTTTTCCCGCCATCCATTTAAATTTTTTATCTGTTTTGTTTGTTTATTTTTTTTTCTGTAAGGCACCTTGGCAGTCTCATCTTTTGTTGCTTATTAATTAAATGCATTTTACTGGTTAAAAGTTTGGTTTGCTGTTTTCAATATTAAACTATATACAAAATTCAGTATTTTGAGACAAAATATGATATCGAAATCATTTAATTACTTTAATTACAAATGCTTAAATTGGAATTTAAGGGTTTAGTGCCTTGTTTTTAAGCATAACTTTTTTTGTGTATTTTTATACAATAAAAAGTTTGAATATTAATTGAAAATATTCCTGATGTTTCAAAGAGATTCCTAAAAAATATCGATTTATATCCCTGACTGCATTTATCAAAGACTTGTTAAGTACAGTTTTTGCTCAAGAACTTGCATAAAAGTAGAAATACTTGGTTTCTACTTTAGAAGTTATAACAAAATATGAATAGTTTAGTTAGGGATGTCAGAGAATATCAATAAATCAATACTGCTTATATATAACTTGATATTTTATCGATATCTGTGCAATAAATCAATATTCTTTTTGATATATATATGTATATCGAACTAATATATCGGAAAAACAGACGAGACACTTAAAACATATACAAATATTCCGATATTTTTGGATAATTTTACAGAAAATTCTATAGAATTTCAATTACTAAAAATTCGATACATTAAAATTTACAATAGTTGTGGAATAAGAATATTGAAAGCAATATTTTTGTGTATATATAATTTTCTTTCGATATATATGTATGTATATAAATGTATATCGGAAAAACAGACAAGACACTTAAAACATATACAAATATTCCGATAATTTTACAGAAAATTCTATAGAATTTTTATAGAATATATGGAACATATATAATTTACTTTCGATATACATACATCCCTAGCTCCAGTTACTCTTCGGTTTATTCTTAACGATATTCAATGCTTTATGGCTATTAATTGGAATTGAAAACAGCTTTTAGTTCGAATTCACATTTCCACACACAGACTGCACCCCTTTCAGGCTTGAGGTTTCATTTTCCATTCTTTCCCCTCTTCAGTCCCCGTGTTTACCTTACACTCGCTTCGGCTTACTAACAATTGTATAATTGAGACCATTATAGCTGCGATGATCAATGGCCGACGATGCTCCTGTTCCCATTCCCATACCCATACCCGTTGTTCCTCCTCCTCCATCCATGTTGCTATTGGAGATTCCCAGATTATTGTTGTTATTATTATTATTATTATTGGCCGTGCCAGTGGATTTGCGAAGAACCCCATAGCCAAGATGACTATCGTCGGCCTTGCGGAAACTTTCCGTATCGGGACTGGCAATCAGTTCGTATTCATTGGGCGGCGGCGGACTGCAACGGATCCGATTGCCGGGCAGTGTCACATTCACAATGGTCTTGTAACCACTGGAGGTCTTATTATTTGGCGACAGAAAGTCCAAGCGATCATAGTTGCCATCGGAGGCGGCATTGGCGGCGCCTCCATCGTTGCCAAGACCCTCGCCAATATCGATATCTATAATTTTGGGTGTACCGCTGCTGGTAATTGAACGTTGGCGCACAAATTCCGTGGTATCGCAGAGTATGGGCATCCGTTCGCAATGGCGTACATCACCGACACCTCGGGTACGCCACGCCTCGGTTATATTCTCAATGCACTCGTAATCCCTCTCTGGTGGCGGTGCCGCCTCCTTACTCTCATTGCGCAACGGCAAATCCGGCGGTAAATCTGGCCCAGATACATCCGTATCTGTGACAATGTGGGGCTTGAGTATCACGGAAGTGTTGTTATCGCTGGTGGTGGCGCCGGTGGCGGAGGATGTCGAGGAGGATGTTGTTATGGCCACAGGCTCATATTTAATCATGTTCCTGTATTTATCACAATGTTGGGGTGTTGCTGTTGTTGATGCTGTTGTTGTTGTTGTTAGATTTCGCGGTGGCTTCTTGGGAATGCTGTGCGGCACGGTGAGTGTAACAGATCCAGGAGCAGATGGTGCATTTGCTGTACCCACCGATGCTGCCGATAATGTTCCTCCCGAAAAGTTATTCAGCGAATCATTCGAACTGATAAATCCCCTCAATGAGATGCAACTTTGTGTGGAATTGATCTCGAACTCTCCGCCAGCAACGCTTCCATGTGGATTACTCGATGGTGACGGTGGCAATGGGCTCCTTGAGCCCGGTTCCATGCCTGCCGCTGCACTAAACTGATTCTCATTGCACTCCAGTGTGCTCAGAGTGCTACTGTCGCCGCTAATGAGCTTTTTCATTGACTTCATCTTGGCGGACATGCAGCGGAAGACATCCTGCGGATTGGTGTGATCCAAGGTGAAGACACCCTCGCCGGTGGTGCATTTACGACCCGCCTCAAATGTAACTTGCCATCACGATAGCCATATTTGCGGATGAAGCGATACGGCCACATGGCAACCGTTGCACCCAAATCCTCGGATTTCAGTTGCAATTCCGTGGCGTCATTTGAAGCATGTAGGTTTTGGGTTCGATGTTGCAGCGAATGGAGGCCTCCGAAGGGATCAGTGTGATGATAAAGAGGCCATCCTGTAATAGAGAGGGGATTAGTTATTGTTATTACTATTATTTATTAATATTTTCAGGGTCGATATATTTCGATATTTGATTAAAATTCGATAAATAAATCGATATTTAAAAAATGCTACATTTTTTTCTATAATAACCAATGTTTCCATGTTCAAAATGATATTTCTTAATATTTAAAGATTCCATATATCAAAGTTTACGATATTTTTGATAAGAGAATAATGAAAAAACCTTTTCTAGCTCCAAAAATAAGCTCTAGCTCGGTTTGTTTATCAAATTTGGTCAAGAATTTTACAAGGCTAATAAATATAAATGCGTACAAGAAAAACTCGAGTAAATGATATTGCATGGCATTTGCTTATATAGAAAGTGAAACCAAAGTAAAAGAAAATACAAATTCAGTAAATAATTACCCAAAATCAACACAAAACATGATTATAAATATCAAAATAAATCGTAAATCATTGAAATTAAAGGGTAATAATTAAAGAATTAGCAGGCATTAATACCAAAATCGACACGCCCCAGTAAATGTGGTATATGCATATGTATAAGCGAAATCATCACTCACAAAGGAGCTGCAGTAGAGGTCATTGTCCTCCTCGATGGCACCGCCAATGCCGCCCGACGGCGAGGTGTCACAAAAGGCAACGGTCTGCAGGGCGGTGATCCAATCCTTGAGCTCCTCCTCGCTGCTGGTGCTCAGGGTTAATGTGCCATGACGCTTCACAATGTGAATGAGGCGTTCGGGCGGCGGTTCCTGGGTGATCTTAACACAGTTCTCAAGGGTAAAGATCTTGGGATTGCGATCCTCCTTGCTCTCGCACATCTCCAGACGGGCGATACCATGACGACTGGCCTTGAATAGCAAACAGTACCGATTGCATGCTTTCTGTAGGAAAATATAATTGGGTTTCAAGATTAGCTTTAATATTAGTACCTAACTAATATTAGTATTTTTTGTGTATTTATGTATTTAGGTAGTTTTCTTTTGTGAGCGGAAAAGTTGTTTTTGAAAAATAATCCATAATGAGTTGCGATTAGAAATCGGTTTCAAATTCCACTTGCAATCTGCAAGGGTATACTAGCTTCGGCTTTCCAAGAGTACCCCTTTGTTTTGACTAATAAAATAATAAAAAGGAAACCAACTTTGGGATTGAATTATATGATCATAACTAAACTTAAAAATCGCATATTTAGTGGTGACAAATCCAAGTTTAAAAATCTCATAACTAAGCCAAAAAAGCTTTAATTTAGTTCGGAAAGCTGTCCTATGTTAGTTTTTATAAGGTTAATAAATCTGCATACACTGCTTGAAATTTTTAAAATTTTAATTTTTTGTCAATTTTTTTGTGACAATTTTAACCTTAAAAAATGTTGAAAAATTTGAAAAAATTAAATTTTTGTCAGACATAGCTAGATCGATTCGGTTTTGATGCTGATCAAGAATATATATGATTTATAGGGTCGGAAATGGCTCCTTCACATATTTAGAAGCTTCTGAATAATATTAAAGTACATTTTAAGTCGATATTTACTATATTTTTAATGACATTTTTTCGAAAAATCAAGTTTAAAAATTCATAACTAAGCCAAAAAAGCGTTAATTTTAGTTTGGAAAGCTGTCCCATGTTAGTTTTTATGAGGTTAATGAATCTGCATACTCTGTTTGAAATTTTTAAAATTTGAATTTTTTGTCAATTTTTGTGTGACAATTTTAACTTAAAAAATGTTGAAAATTTGAAAAAATTAAATTTTTGTCAGACATAGCTAGATCGATTCGGCTGTTCATGCTGATCAAGAATATATATGGTTATAGGGTCGGAAATGGCTCCTTCACATTGTTACAAGCTTCCAACTAATATTATAATACCCTGCAAAGGTTTATTTCCTACCCAAAAGGGTATCCAGGTTTAAGCCGAATCCTTTCCATACTTGAGTCTGTTAGCCCCCACCCCCTTTCTTTACCCCTCTTTTTAGCCCATTTCGCTCTCACTCTTTTCGCTGGCTCAAGAATTTCCTGTCCGCACATAAACACAAATACCATGAAACCAACATGAATCGCCCAGCTGTGCGTGTGATCCGAGTATGTTTCATGTGAAGCTCAGAAATAATTGCGGTCAAAATAGTAGTAACTCTTTTAAGTATTAAATTATTTCATATTTGGGCTAAAATAATAGTATGAATATTTATAATTGCAACAAAATTTAAATTAAAAAAGTATATTATTTGTTTTTATGGCATTGAGGGATGAATAAAGGCAGACATTTTAAGATATATTAAATCATTGCATCACAGTATTTAAAAATAATGAAAAAAGTTTTAGTTAAAAAGTTATTGCAAACTTGATAAGTATAATAGAAGCTTTTAAAATAATTTCAGGTATTAATGTTATTTATGTCTCTTTGGTGCTAATTTGATGACCAAACTGTCTATGTCGCGAGCGATCTTGCTCTCGCTCTCCACCCTCTCTCTTTAGAGCGCGCGTTCTCTCTCTCTCCCTGCCTACCTTTCTCACTCCCACTCGCAGAGGGAACTTCATTTGTATGCAACAAGTACCAGGCACGACGCACACACACACACTATAGCCTGTAAGTCCTGTTTATCGAAAAATTACTACGCACTTGAAGAATATATCGAACTTGGCTAAAACTTGAGAATTTAAAGGAAATCTAAAGGCGAGAAAACATTCAAACGAAATACAGAAAACACGGGTTTGTTTCATTTTTTGTTTTGGCAATTTTCCTTACCTTTTTCGAGATGCGATTTAGCGAAAATCCAGTTTGGGTCGGCACATTAAGATATCCAGCCAAAACAGGTATTTCAACATCCATTCTGTGCTCCACTCCTCCTCCTCCGCCACCGCCGCCTCTTCTCCTTCGCCTTCGCCTTGTTCCTTCTCTCTCTCGGTCTCGGCCTCTCCTTCTTCGATCTCGTCTAGTCTCTTCTCTCTCACACAATGCGCCTCCGACTCCGAGTCCGAGTTTTTATTGTTGTTGCTGTTGCAGTTGCTGGCACTTTCTGGAGTTTTGCGTTTATCATCCGATTTTCACAGTTGCCGATCGTTTCGCGTTGTATTTTTCACTGGCCAGGCTATCGCCGGTCATATTTGCATCACACCGCGAACGCGAAGATTTAAAAGCGCAGCCGCAGCACAAAAAAAGCATTAACAAAAAAAAAACGAGCAGAGGCACGTCGACTTTATTTATTTTATCGCTGAACTATCGATACTCGATCAACGAAATAGGGCCCGCAGTGCACCGATCGATTGCTTTATAACTATCGCAATGGAAGGTGGGCGAAATTATCGATGGGTGGGAAACTTAACTAAATCGTTCTCGGAAATGTATTCTCAGAGACGTAAATATGTAAAAACGTATTCTTAATAATAAAAGTAGATGCTAGTATATATTTTAATTATATAAGTAAATAGTAAATTGAACCATTATATTGTAAAAATATAATTAGCACCCCTATGGAAGGGTTCGAAACATTGCTAAGCGTTAAGAGTTTTTTCATACAGACCTAGGCGGCAATCTTACGATAGGTACGAAACATAGCTAAATACAAGCACACAACAAATATAATCGATAGTTCAGAACTCGGCTAAGTTAGAGAATTTGTTTAAACTATTTAAAAGATACAGAGGGGTGAATAACTTTTGGCAAGTGATACTGAATTAATATAGTTTGATATTTAAATCAAACTAATGTTTGCTTCTTTTATAAATAAATAATAATCGAACTTTGGCAGCTACCAATTGGAATGCTTATCGATAACAGGGCCAGTGCCATCACTATTACAAAAACGTTTTGTGCAAAAAATAATAAAACAGAGAAAAGAAATTGAAACCAAAGACTGGAAGCATGGCCCACGACCGCGAGGTGTTGCGTATGATCTGGGAGGGCCAGATTGGCATCTGCTTCCAGGCGGACCGCGACGAGATCGTGGGCATCAAACCGGAGCCCTTCTATTTAATGATATCGCGACTCAGCTACTTGCCCCTGGTCACCGATAAGGTAAACAAAGCACGCAAAATAGTTAATAATAACATATTAATTGCATCATTTGCTTTGTGTTAAAGGTTCGCAAGTACTTTTCCCGCTACATAACCGCCGAGCATCAGGATGGCGCCGTGTGGTTCGACTTTAATGGAACGCCCCTGCGCCTGCATTATCCAATTGGTGGGGGAGACTGACTATAACTCCAATTGGAGTGAATTTCCTATTGTTTAATGATTATTTCATGATCTCTCTTCCTGTGCAGGTGTCCTGTATGACCTGCTGCATCCGGAAGAGGATAGCACGCCCTGGTGCCTTACAATACACTACTCCAAGTTCCCTGAGGATACGCTCGTCAAGCTCAATTCCAAGTATTTATCCAAGAAGAACTCTTGAATTTCTTAATTTTAATGATTTTGGTTTGGCTTTTAAGTCGGTTTGCTATTAAGAAATGCAATTTTAAATCTATATTTTATAAAATAATAATAGTAAAGCTAGCGAACGTCTGTTGTAACCTAGGAAAGTCAGGTGTTTTGCGTATTAAGTTCAAATATTAAGCTTATTTCAGGAAATATCCATAGAAAATGCTTTAAAAATGGGTTTTTTAAAAGTAAAAATTAAAGCTAAAAAGTTGTTAAGTTTATTGAAATAATATAATAGTAATCCGATTTTTCGGATCGTGATATGTATGATATATGAATTTATATTATTTCTTAAATACTCATAGTTTTTATAACAAAATCAGTTGAGTTCAGACTTCATAATGTCGATATAATATAATATATTCACAGAAATTTAAGTAAACATATAAGAATTTTCGGTTAAAGTTTTTAATTCAGGACTTACCAATTTAGAGCTCAAATTAATATAATTGCGAAAGCCAAATATCCTTGTTAAACCTAAAAAGACAAAAGAAAGAGATTACTTAGTTTTTCTTTATATTTTTAAATTTTCTTATAATATGTATAAAAATTACAACTTTTCTATTGATAAACCCTTTCCAGAGAACTGCTGGAATCCCACTACATGTCCTGCCTTAAAGAGGCAGATGTCCTGAAGCATCGTGGCCTGGTCATTTCGGCCATGCAAAAGAAGGATCACAACCAACTGTGGCTGGGCCTGGTCAATGACAAATTCGATCAGTTTTGGGCCGTCAATCGGCGACTGATGGAGCCCTATGCCGACCAGGAGTCCTTCAAGAACATTCCCCTGCGGCTCTACACGGACGATGTGAGGATATGCCGCCGATGCAGAGCATCAATATGGTTACAGAGATTAATGGATTTTCCCTTTCCTTTTTTTTTTTTTGTTGCTGTTGCCAGGACTTTACGTACACGCAGAAATTGATATCCCGATCGCGAGGGTGGACACAAAAAGAGTCTGGCCGATCTGATGGCCGAATTATCGACACCTGTGCGCAAAGCGGGTGAGTTACCTTTACTCTTCCTCTACTCTGTTCTTCAAAACAAAAAAAAAGAACAGAAAATAGAAAATCAAACCTAGAAAGACCCATTGTCTGCCGCGGCCAGACGCAGCGTCTCTTGGAAATTAGGGAAAAAGGTGCCAGTCAGTCTGGCATGGCCAAGTGCTTGTCTATAACCCTCCCCTGCTCGTCCCTCTCTCCCTTCCCACTGACTTATTTATTTTTCTATTGAATAACACAAACGAGCCAAGCCAAGAGCCGAAGAAGCCGAAGCCGAAAAATCCGCCCTGCGGCACACTCATTCTTCAATTCATCAATGTCCCTCTTTTGTCCAGACAAAAAAAATATATATAGGAATCGAATAAAGGAAAAGATATATATGGAGAGGTGAGGTGGAAAACAATGCCCCCGGGGTGGAAAAGCGAACCCGGAGCGGATCGGAACGGATCGTATCGGATCCGTAGCAGCAGGCAGGCAGGTCTCTTTCGGTCTCTTGGCCATGGCCCAGAGGCAAAGCGTTCAGGTTGTTCCATTCAAACTCGAAATGGAATGAAAAATGTATATTCTCTTTGTCTCAAAAACGTATTTTGTCGGAGCAGCTAAAAAAACACTTGAAGAGCAGTGGCAATCGGTGTAATAAGCCAAAAAAAATTGAATTAAAACGAGGTTCTAATAAACTATAGGGATTAGTCTTATGATCACTATATATAAAACTATATGATAGTTTCACCTGATGATATAGCCTCCAAAATAAGCTTGAAATGTTATAACATTTTGGGTTATATATTGTACAGAGTCGATATAATATATTGTTACTTTTATAACGTTTAAATGCAGTGCGACAATATCGTAATCTTTAAACATAAAACTTTAAATTGCGATAATATTGTAACCTTTTCCAATAATTAAAACATATTGTTTCATCACTTATACATATTTAACCTTAATTTTTATAATATATAACGCTTCAAGTCTTTAAAAATAAGAGGAAATTATTTTAAATTTAAATTAAATGTAAAGTTTGGAGAAATATAGTTCCAGGTTAATATTTCCCTAAATAGCTTTATTTAAAGGCTTAAAACCACTTGAAGATGAAGAGAAGTGTTTCAAACATTGATTATATGTTCTTAAACATATATAATAATATATAATATTATATATTAAATTTAGTACTATATTTTTGGTGATACTTTTATTAAAAGTCTCCACTTAAGTCTCCACAAAGCCCCCCCCCCACAAAACCCAAAGATGATCGCCTGACCTGCGGCGCCGGCGACAAGAGAAAGATAGAGATAGAGATAGAGAGAGAGAGAGATCGCGTACACGGGCAGAGTGAGATGGCAAGAGCACTTGATACCGCAGAGAGTGAGGGAAAGGAAAGAGAGAGAGAGTTGCAACTGCAATAGAGAGAAACTCCCACTCCACTGATGCCCACGGCTTAGGTGCAATAATAGCATTTGGGAATTCCAGAGACGGACAAAAGGCGGAACTAAATACCTGCGGCTGGGATTTACGAATTATACTGTGAGGGACAGCACTTCGGGCACTTCTTTGGGCTCTGTTTCCATTCAGAGAGTTTCTTCTTATTTCATTTTTTTTTTTTGTTTTTCGTCCATATGGTCCTCCTGTGCCCGCTGCAGGTTGGGTATTTCCCAGGTGTTCCTGGCCAGAGATCTCTCTCTGTCTCTCTCCCTCGGTGAGGTGTGAAATTTGTATTTGCATGCACAGCAACCTCGCCGATGATCCAAGGAATTTCCCATTCGAAAAGGTGAGAGATTTGAGGAGGACTCTAGAAAAACAATTGAGCAAGCAAAAGATGGACACGGAAACCACCGTACATGGACACGTATTTTCCCAAAGGTCACATGTTCGGCTTGTGAGGCGTCCTTGGTGCAAGGTGGCCTCGGTACTCTAGGGACTCTCTTGGTACCATCAGGACTCGTATCCAGGACTCTTGCTATCTCAGCAGCACGCCTGGCTTAAGTGGGCCAGGCCAAGGCAATCCCCTGACATTCGGGGTCCTGTTCTCTCTCTCTCTCTCTTCTCATAGGATCTAGGGAACTTAGGGATCCTGGGGATTTAGCAAGTTAACAAGCAAGCTTAATTTAATACTCCTTACTTTTACAGAGAGATTGATAATTTTATTATTTATAGTGGGGAATTTTGTTTAATTGTTATTATTAATTATTTGTCACTTATATAAAATAGGAATGGTTTGTTTAAATATAAATAGGTAGCTTAATTTTTTTTAATTTAACCTTAATATCATTAAACCCTTATACCCTTTTTATAGAATTCCTTTGAATATTAATAATAAATAATATACTTATAATTAAAAAAAACTAAAAAATACATAAAATATAAATATAATAATATGACGAATTTGTTTTGCTTGTACATAACAGGCAAAGCTTGGAAGACAACCGATTTATGCAAAAGCGAAAAAGATCAACGAAAATTGAAGGTGTTTCTTTAATCCTTTTTAAAGGATTCTCGGGCAAGCAACTTTGGCAAACTTTTAGTAAACGAGACTCTGTCTTAGATATTATTCCCATAATCATATAAACATCCATTTAGTTCCCTTTTAGTCTCTATTTATTGCTCTTTTTCTTGTTGTCTTCCAACAAATCAATGGGAAAATATCTTTGGCTTTTATTTTTCTTTTTAAATTTCAAAATCATACAGAAAAAATGCCTCAAAAAGATGATCAATTCCTCAGCTTCTTTTTCATCATGAAAAAAAGAAGAGGCGGAGGAGGAGGGGTGTCAAAAAGAGAGGAGTGGGGGGGGTGAGGGGGCGGATAACGATTGCACGTACTGTTTGTGGTGCGTGCATTTTCATAGAAAATCGTATTTAAATTGAAATGAAATTCAAATATACAATGCAGCCGCGGCGTCGTCTCTCGGAGTTTTTCAGTTTTCTTTCTCTCCTCCCCCCCCACTCCTGTTTCCAGTCGGAACGTGGAAGGTTCAAAGTAGATGCGATTCCAAGAAATCAAAAAACACAAAAAAAAAAAAACAGAAAAAAATCAAGGAAAGGCAAGAAGAAGCAGAAGCAGCAACAGAGCAGAGGAAGAGGAAGAGGTAGAATCTAAGACGCGTCAAAATAAAAGAAACGCATTTCTTTTGGCTTTGCCTTTGGCTCCTTTGGCCCCCTCTCCCTCTCCCTCGCACTCGCACTCGCACTCGATCTCCCTCACCTTTTGCTGCTGCTTCTTCTTCTACTCCTTCCTCTTCTTCCTCTTCTTCTTCTTCTTCATCTGCTCCTGCTGCATTGGCATTCGCTTCATTTGTTGTTGTTGCTGCTGCTGCTTTCATGATTTGCCGCCGGCAGCGCCGCCAACTTCGCTGTCCGTGCGTCGCCGGAAAGCAGCAACAATAAAATGCAAGTGCCGTTTCAGTGTTGTCAGTTTTGACCAACAAAAAATTAAAGTTTTGGAAGACAAATGTCCTTCTAGAGAGAGATTAAAAAACTAGATCATAGATAATAATAATGGAGAAAAGTTTTTAGCATATTTTCTATAAAGAAAAAGAGATACTTTGTGCTAAACAGTGCTGTCACAGTTTAAGATAAAGTTTATTTAATGAAACTAAAATTTTATATAAACACTATTAAAATGTTAGATATACAAATAATTAAATAAAACCAGCAAGTCGCATAACCCTAATTTATTATTAATAATATCAAGTAATTTTATACCCTTGCAGGGATTATAATTTTAGTCAGAAGTTTGCAAAGCAGTGAAGGAGGCACCTTCCTCCATGTCCGTCTGTCCTTCTGTCCTTCTGTCCGTTTCTACCTAAAAAGTCTCTCAGTTTTAAAGCTATCTAAATGAAACTTTTTCTTCTATAAACTCTCACTCGTATATATGTCGGAACAGGCCAGATCGGACGACTATATCATATAGCTGCCATAGGAATGACGGAAATTTTACAAAAAAATTATAACATTTTTAGTTTTCAACAGATTTTCATCAAATTTAATTTATAGCCATTTTATATTATTCTACAACACTGTATGAAATTTTTGAAAATGGACTACTATATCATATAGCTTCGATAGGAACATCGTTAGATATAGAGGAAAAATGAAATCTGTGAATGTAAAACTGTAAATATATATTTATATGTGAATGAAATGAAAGCAGGTATACTTCATTGTTTTTCAACATAAATATATATAATTTATATTGTATTGATTCCAGTCATCAAAGTTCTAACTGCAGGGTATATAACTCGGCGTGCCGAAGTTTTTTGTTTATAATAAAGCTAATCTTATGATAAAAAGCTACATTATGGCGAAGAAATAGCTAAAGCTGTCTGCACTGTTAGCTCCATGTCCTCTCTGTGTGTGTGTGTGTTTGTGCTATGCAGGCTGCACTGTATTTGTGTTTGTATTTGTGTAGGGTACTCTCCCACTCTCCCACTCTCTCTCCTCTCTGTCTCCCCTCGAATGTGTGAAAAGGAAGTTCTGAGATATCACCTCCGCTTATTTGTATTTACACCTTCGCCGGCACCTCGTCCCCGCCTCCTGCTCTACTCCTCCTCCTCCTCCCTCTCCTTCTCCTAGTATTCCTCCCTCCCCTATACTTTTTTTTTTTGCTTTTTTTTCGCTGCACTCCAAAACTCCGGTGAAAACGGCGGCGCACGGAAATCGCACCTCAATGTTTATCACTCTGCTTCTCGCCCTCGCCCTCTGTCCTTCTCCCTCCTTCTCCTTGGCATCTCTTTATGGCCTCTCCTTCCCCTTGCTCCTACCTGCCGGCTCCCCCCACTCCACTTCATCACACTCGCATCATCGTCGCATTTGCTTAGTCCCATTTCGACACATTTTCGTTTGCATTTCGTCAATCAGACAAACAATGGCAACCTGCAAACTGCAACCTGGACTGCCATTGTGTGTGTGTGCGAGGTATGTGTGTGTGCAAGGTGTGCGTGTGTGCGAGGTGTGCGTGTGCAATGGTGTGACAATTGGCCGCGCCACGCCCTGCTTTTTGGGTGGGCTGCAGGCAGCTGTAAGTGTGAGTTTTATTTAAATAAATCGTTTTTTTTTCTATCTAAAATTTTAGTGAAAAACTGATCGGTATTTGTATCTAAAATCTAGAAATTGAAAGAATTTACTTGTGAAAATGAACACTTTGTGATGAGTTCATTTTCAATTCATTTATTTATTTATTTATTTTTATACCCTTGCAGGGTAAATAATTTAAGTCAGAAGCTTGAAACGCAGTTTAAGAGTCATTTCCGACCCTATAAATCATATATATTCTTGATCAGCATTAACAGCTGAATCGATCTAGCCATGTTTGGAAAACAATTTTTTTTGCCCAAATTTTTCGATTTTTTTTCATAATTTTTTACAACATACAACTATAAAAAATTTGAAAAAAATTAAATTTTTAAATTGATTAAATTGAGTATGCAGATTTATTAAGCTAATGAAAATTAAGATAGGAAAACTTTCCGATTTAAAATTATGACTTTTTGGCTTAGTTATGAATTTTTTAACATTGATTTGTCGATAGAAATTGTCATATAAAAATAAAGATAAATATGGATTCAAGAATGTAAATACAAGGGTATATAAAATTCGAATTCCTGAAGATAGTTTCTTTATTTGTTTTTATTTTAGAGTGTAGAGGAAATGAGAGTTATTTACATGTGAAAATAACCCTTTAAGATGAGTTCATTCCGAATTATTTGAGATACTAACGTAAAAGGGAAATTAACACCCTTTTCTTTTTTTTCTATTTATTTATCTATAATTTATATGTTAAATAGTATTGGAAACTTAAGTAATTTTCTTATAAAAATGAAAACTATATCCCAAATTAATTTTCAATTAACTAATTTATTTATATATATTTTAAATAATTTTTGCATTCATTTCTGCAATGAAACCCCATCAAAGGGGGAACTCTGCTATAAAAGATCAGTTCTGACTGTGGTTTCCTCTTCCTGCCTCTCTTGGCACCCACTTAATTTTCCACTTTTATCCATAGCTTTTTTTTCTTATTCGTTTTCTCGTTTTTTCCCCTTCGGAAGTTTATTTGTTTGTTTTCTTCGTTTTGGTTGATCGGCAATAATCAGTTGCAATCTTCACAAAATCACAACTCCGGGGAACTGCACCGTCAACGAGAAATTCGTTTCGTTTTTTTTTTTTCTGTATTTCCTACCTCCCTTGCCCCCTCCGCCACCGGAATTTCCTTTCCAACTTTGTAAGCGGCATGAAAATAAACTGAAATTGAAATTAAAACTGAGCAGTAAGACAAACAAAAAAACAATTGATTAGCACTTTTTAGCTGGCGTCACTGTCACTGAACTGCAAAAATGTCATTTTCCCACTGCAAGTGGAACGTTTGGAATTGGAACACTGGATTTGTTTTTATTTTTTTTCAGCCCAGTTTCTATATATTGTTTTCTTTAATGACTTTATGGGAACACAATCTATTAAGTGATTATAATGATGATTGGGGCTGGGACTCGGGGGCCTTATCAGAGAGATCGGTGGAACGATTTTTGTTTATTTTTAGCTATGAGCTATACACCCATGTCATTCCCTCCTGTTTCCACGTTTTACGTTTTTTTTTTTTTGCCTTTCCCCTCACCCCACCCCCCACATTTTCGTTGCTGACGACGACGATAATAAAAAATGGGATCAATAAATTTTCAGACGGTTTGGCGCCACTTGGCGCGCGCAAGGGGCGCCCCTGACTGCGGCTGTTCTTATTTTCTTATATTTGTGGGGGAGAGAGTAAAAGAGACAGAGAGAGAGAGAGAGAGAGAAAAGATCAAAGACGTATGTCTAAGAATTTCTTAGATTTTTATATAATATTAAATGCAAGATTTATGATCTTTTTGCGTTTGTTTTACAAAAGATATTTCTGTAATATACAAAAGTTTCAGGTTTTATAACTATTAAATGATTAAACAAATCAATCAGTTTCAGAATTACACAAAGAATTTAAGGAATACTTATAATTAATGTATCAATTTTATTCTTATATCTCAACCAGGGTACTATAATTTAATTCAGTAGCTGACTGTAAAATATAAATTTATGATCAGTATCAACAGGAAAATCGATCTAACAAACCCCACTAGAAACATAAAAATGTTGCATCATTAAAATTTATAAAAATGTAAAAAAAATGTGTTTTTACTTAAATTTTGAACCCCAAAATGGGAAGGAATCATTTCCGACCCTATAAATTATATATATTCTTAATCAGGATCAACAGCCGAGTCAAACTAGCTATGTCTCAAAAAATTTAATTTTTAAAAATTTAAACATTTTATTGGGGTTATTTGTTAAAATTAAACTAAAAAAATTGAAAATTTCAAATTGTTTTAAATTTTAAATTGAGTATGCAGATTTATTAACCTAATAAAAACTAGCATAGAACAGCTTTCCGAATTAAATTTAACGAATTTTTAATCGAGTTATTATGGATTTTCTCTGCAAGGGTATACAAATTTCGACTTTCCGAAGTTAGTTTTCTTTTATCTTTTCCTTGTAAATTAAGTAATAGTAAATCTTAAAAAATTTTAATATTTCCGTAGAATGTTTAGGTATTTTTTAATTTTCTACATGTGCTTTAAAAATAACTTTAATGACTATATTAATGCTTGCATGTCATAACTAAGAATGCCTTGTTAAACAATTTTTATTATTATCATAAATGTAATCAGCATTAAGCTACAAGTAAGCTTTGAGCCAAAGGTTTTTTCCCTTTTCAATTATTTTCTATTATTATAGTTTTTATTATTTTTTTAATATTTTTAACTCCTCCCCTTGAAAGACACCTGATTATAACACCGCCCATGTGGCGTTTATTTATTTATTACTTTTGCTTTTTTTTTGTGGTAGCGCCATTAGCTTTGGTCATTAAACTCGTGACTTCAGCGGAATGAAATGGAATGGTAACGAAACGAAACGAAACGAAATGAAATGAAACGGGGGGAAAAAAAGGTAGAAGGGGAAAGGGGACTCTCTTTGGGCATGAACTCGCGCCCCGTTGCACAAAATCTTATCTGGAGGCAAAACGCTCATTCGTATCCCACCGTATGTAATCAGCCATTATCAGCATACTATATATATACTATATAGACCATATCAACACCGACTGACTTGCCATAACCCAGAACGACGACGACGCCGGTCGATTGGCAATCGCAATAATGGCACTTTTTGAATCGGTGATCGGCAATCTATAATTACAATTCATATGCTAAAATTAAAAATGACGAAATTTCGTCACAAAACATGATTAGCCACAGGGAAAAAAGACAGACCAAACACTTGTATGATAAGGCTTCAAAACTCAGATTTCCAATAGTTCAATTTTGTAGAGAGTTCTTTAGCTATTCTCTAATCTTTTATAGCTCTCAAATTGATCATGATCCCTGTTTATATAGCACAAGTAGGCTTATCTCTTGCTTTCAAGTAATCCCCTGGCTGATCTCATTCATTATAATATAAGCAATATATTTGCTCATTAATAAACTATATTGATTGGCGGCTTGCTTTTTTACATAATTGTAAGACTTTAATGGGTATTTCCATTAAGGCTTTCATTATGATTATTATAAAATAATAATCTATACTAAGGTATATTATAATTTAGTAATTAAATGATCAATCTTTATAGAAGATTTCCTATTAACTCCTTGGGGTTTTACTTATTTGGATTATCAGACTTTTTGTCGGCGGTCTAATTACTTTGAACATTTAGAGGGGGTCTTAGAAATGATTGATACATTGATTATAGCAGGTATAAATAATATATTTGAAAGGGAAAAGCAAAAATAGAATCACCACAATGGCTATAACTATATCTATAAATGTTAAATCCTGGATTTGCATAGATATATCGATGGGAAAAGAGTTATATGTGCGTATAAAAACATAACACGTGAAATATTATATCAAGTGTATCTTAATCTTTGATATATTTATCTATTTTAAATATGATATTTTACATACCAATATCAACATTTCGATTTATATCTATACTTTATACTTTAAATAGATATATATACTATATCCTTCTCCCCTATTATCCCTTTTTCCAGTTGGATGTCGCACCCATGGCATTGATCTTCATGAGGAAACGCAGCTACAATGGATGTCCGAGCACCTTAGTTATCCCGACAATTTCCTGCATTTATCGGTGGACTACAAGGATGTCTAGTCCTTCCAGAATATGTATATATATATATATAGTATATATAGTATTATATATATACCCAATGTTTTCCCCCCAGTCCGCGAGTGAGTGTGTTTGAGTGTCAATGTCTGCGTGCAATTCTATTTTTCGATTCCAGCAAATCCCAGGGCGATCCTCATCGATCGATATATATATATGTATGCTATATATATAGAACTATACATCTAGTTAAGTTTAAACCATATGTAATATTTATGATATATGCCACAGCATTTAACAGAGCGAGCAGCGCAAAACCAAACGATTACTGGAACTACCCACTAAACTAATAATACCAATATTTATACCTATATCTATTATATACAGTCGAACTTCTTTATACAAAACTAAGGAAAAAAATATTCTACCCTTGCCTTATGTTATTATTGTTTTTTCTTATATATTTTTTTATAATAATATTGAATACATCACGCGACTTTGTATATTTAATTTGTTTAAGCTTAATGACTGTAATCAAAAAAAAATATATATATAGTTACAAATTTGAAAAGTATTTTGTACTTTATTTAATTAAGGGGGAGAAATATATATATTTATATACATTTTCTAATCTTTTCTTTGATATATTTATTTGTTTGAGATCAGTTTTTAGTACATTAAGTGTTAGTTCTAATTTCAAACCTTAGTTCTTGGAATTTTGTATAAAAAATTGACATAAAACAAACCGAAGCTCGACTGTATATAGTCGCCAAGTGATCGCTGGATCGCTGGCCATATGTTCATCGATCAACCTCCATTAAGCCGCCGGAAACTGGCCCAAGCCCTGCACTAACTAAAATGAACTAAAAGAAAAAACTACCAAACCAAAAGCAAAAAAACCTCGCTGGGTTATCAATTTCGGTCGCGATTTATCCGCCTGTCAAGATAGTAACCAAGAAATTGGAATTGGAATTGGGTCTGGACGGGGTTCCTATAACCACTGCCATATCTATATCTGGTCTGGGTCGACCTTACACAATATGTTTTCCACCAAGCCAGCGAAATCGATGATCTTGTTGTTTTTGCTTTTTTGTACCCTTTTTTTAATGAATTAAATTTAGTATTTGAAGAGCATCGATTTGACACTGTCAGACATAAGGGAAAAACCAACACTGATTCTATAATTAGTTAACGCTTATTTTTCGCCCACTCGAGAATGATTTATTTGATTGTTATTTGTACCAAAAATAAACTGCAAAATCTGATTAAATAAAAAAATGGCCGAGTTATTAGTGCAAATGGGGCGGGTACTTGCTATATCTCGATCGGGAATCTGATGGATCAGCCAAAGTGCGACCATAACATTGATGGATCCCTTGACCGACTGTTCTGATTGATCAGCGATCTTCAGTTGGAGGTGATGGGATTTTCTGGGCTTTTAGATCACTTTTATGAGTATTTAGTGGGACTAAAAATGGATTCTTAAAGGGTTAAATGCCTTTTTATTAATATAATATAATTACAATGAAGTAATGACCATTTATTTTATTTTTACAGTTTTACATTAATCGTTTTGCATTTTCCTCTATTTTTAACAATCGTTTGTATGGCAGCTATATGATATAGAAGTCCGATTTTCATAAAATTTTACACAAAATTCTAGATAAATATACTATGGCTATATATCAAGTTGATGAAAATCTGTTGAAAACTAGAAAAGTTATAATATTTTGTTTTATATTCCGATCGTTCCTATGGTAGCTATATGTCTATATATATATATATATATAGTCCACCGATTCGCCATGCTCCGACTTATATACTAGTTAAATTATATAGAAGAATAACTCAATAGTTTCATTGAAATAGCTTAAATTTGTTCCAAAACAAATCGCGTACATCTGTGCTTATGATTCCCAACTGGTTCTAACATCCCCGGAACGAAGTGACTGCTGCCGGCCAAGTATCAGCCATGTGTTGTGTTACAAAAGTTGCAAGTCATTGTTTACAAGTGTTTAAAGTTATTAGCTGATCATAGTTACTTACTGGTTATAGATACTTATTGATCATAGTTAATTAGTGATCATAGATACTTACTGGTCATATGTAGATACTTATTGTTTAGAGTTAATTACTGATCATAGTTACTTAATGTTCATTGATACTTACAGATCATAGATACTTGATCATAGTTAATTACTGATCATAGTTACTTAATGTTCATTGATACTTACTCATCATAGTTACTTAATATCCAGAGTTACTTAACTTACTGAACTAAAAATAGTTCTTATTGCAGGTAAATTTGTATTAGTTATAATAATTTAAGTTTTAAGAGCTAACAGGGACTATAAATCGAGTTGCTAGAATTTTAAAGGTTACCCAAACATTTCATCATTTTAGATCAATATTTAAACTAAAATCATTTCTACCAGCTCGATCATTATCAGCATAGAAGAATTCCTTTAATTATTAAATTAGAAAGTTTGTCTATCAGAGAATATCCCACAGATATAACCGAAATAGGTACAGTTCAGACCTAAAACAAAAAAAAAAAAAAAACAGAAATCATTCATATAACATGATTATGTCACGATCGTTTGCCGTCGATCGGATCGCGCGAGATCCGTTCCTGTGATTACAACATCGCGGGTGCGCAAAAACTTTGCCCGATCGATAGCAGAATGTATATATATATATATATATATATATGTGTATATAAGGTACACTAGGTACTTGCAGGTACCTTATATATATATGTATATATATATTTAGAGGCGGAGGCGGTGGCGATCTTGCCATCTGCAAAAGCACTCGCGACTTGGGACTCAGGTGAAATCTATTCCCGCGCCAAATATCAATCCCTTACCGCCTTGCTCCCTTTTACCGCATTTACTTTGTAAAATTTTTGGCTGCCTGCAAATCAAAATATATATATATTTATTTATTTTATTTTCTTTTTTTTTAAACTATCGAAATTTGTCACGTGGCATCACAGGGAAAACCTCATACATAGCAGAGAATAGAAAAAAAAAATATCGAAAGAAATAGAAAAGAAATGAAAGCGAGCAAAAGTTTACACGGCAACGCGCTTCGACGAAAACAACACAAAAATAAATTGAAAATTTTGCAATCATCTGCGAGTTTGGTCGCTTTCCTCCCACGGTCCCGCGATCTGGCAAATGTGTGTGGCTTTTCCTCTGATTAGGTCATTTTCCTCACCTGCTACCTTCCGTTATGTAGATCCTGTGCTTTTTCCTGCTACAGTTCCTTAGACACTGCTTCCTAGACCCTATTTTCTATTTATACTTTAAGTCAAAAGCTTCTGAAACTGTGAAGGAGTCATTTCCGACCCTAAAAATCACATATATTCTTGATCAGCATCAACAGCCGAATCGATCTAGATCTGTCCGACAAAAATGTATTTTTTTTAATTTTCAAAGATCTTTAAGGTGTTAAAATTGTAAAAAAGAATCCAACAAAAATTTAAAATTTTAAAATTTAAACAGCTTTCCGAATTAAAATTAATGCTTTTTAGGCAAAGTTATGAGTTTTTCAAACTTTGATTTTGTCCTAAAAATTGTCATATAAAATATCGATAAATATTGACTCAAAAAAATGTTATTTTAATATTAGTCAGAAGCTTGTAACTAAGTGAAAAAGTCATTTCCGAAACTATAAATCATATATATTCTTGATCAGCATCAAAAACCGAATCGATCTAGCTATGTCCGATAAAAATTAATTTTTTAAAATTTTCAAAAATTTTTAAGGGGTTAAAACTGATAAAAAAAAGTCGAGCAAAAATTAAATTTTTTACATTTTAAATTGAGTATGCATATTATAAATCTAATAAAAGTTAACATAGGACTTCTTTCCGAATTCAAATTAATGTTTTTTTGCCTCAGTTATGCATTTTTTAAGCTTGATTTGTCGACAAAAATTGTCATATAAAAATATCTATAAATATCGATTCCAAAATTGGAAATATATTTTCAATTCAATTCTGTAATTCAATTACAAAATTACAAAATTAACTTTTATTGATATTTTAAATTTGTATATAAATAATTCAATACTTTGCTTGATTTATGAAAATACTATAATGCAAATAGAGCTAGTTGATCAAAGTTTACTATATTTTCAATATGATCAAAGTTTACAAATTTTTTAAATGATATTGATTCATTTTTATCGTATTATTCCTATGGATATATGCATATATATCTCATACCGATAAATCAATATTTTATTCAATATATCCGAATTCTATAATCAAATTACAGATACTTGATCAAACTTTACTATATTTTCGATATAATATGGGGTTATAAGATTCAAAGAGCATTATTATGGCACTTCTTCCCTTTGTTAATATATTCCTAAACCCAAACAGGTCTCCTCATCCTCTCTGTTCGCAAATGTCGTGAAAATTCTTTAGTTTTTCACTTTGCTGAAGCAGAACAGGAAGAAGAAGAGGGGGAAAAGCGCGTCAAGTGAAAAACAATGACTCGAGAACCTAGTGCCTCCCCTCTATACCCACTGTACTTGAGGAACCAACAAATCCCAAGCCCCAAAACCCATCGGATTTCATCCAATTCGATCGCTTTTGCTGACAATGATGTGGCTGTGCCTCTGCCTGTGACTGCGACTGTGACTGTGACTGTGACTGTGACTGTGACTGTGACTGTGACTGTGCCCGTGGAAATGTGTGTGGCTGACTGTGGTGGGGCTGGGATGGATGGTGCTGCTGGTGGTGCTGCTGATGCTGCTGTGGGGCTCGTGATTGGCGCACACATTGGCAAACGAGAGCACTTTATTTTTAAACGTTTTAAAAATACGATCATTATAGAATTTGCGGCTTAGTCATACCCCGCCGCCGAAATGTGCCAAGCGAATTGACCAGCGCGAAACCGTGTAGAGAGATCCGATCAAGGGGGGCCCGCGTTACTATATAGTATAGGGCACTATATCTAGTACTTCTTCCCCGGCCCCTCCCCCATAGAGAGCCTTAAGCCATAACCCGTGACACGCATATCCATCACAAACATAGCCCAAGATGATCATCAGCCAAGATCAAAAGGCTATAAATCCCTCTACAACAGTCAGTCAAAGGAATTACGTAGATATATCCCCAAAGATATGTCTAGATTATGGGAGAAAGATCTGGGGTAAGAGTAGAAGCAAAGTTCATTTGAATATTAAATTTTAACTGAATTTTCAAGCTTTATATAATATTTTATATATTATAGAATTTAAAGTTCCTATACATAATATATTATAATATATTATATATTATATATTTTAGGTATTCAAATATAAGAACATAGATAATTCAAGCTTTACTTTGTGAAATAATCAAAAAAAGTTCCATGAATTTGAAAGTCATCAAATATAAATTAGTTTCTATACATAATATTTTATATAATATATTATATGTCATATATTTTAGATTATCAAATATAAGAACATAATAATTCAAGCTTTACTTTATGAAATAATCCACAAATTCAATGAATTTGAAGCTCATAGAATATAGAATTAGTTCAAATACCCTATAAAGTATATATAAATTTGATCAGAATCAAAACTCTAGTTGATCTAGCCGTCCGACTTGACTACATAGATTCCTAGGATACTTCCTGAGGCAGGCATGAGGTTTCATCAGCATTTATCAGTATCCAACAGAAGCTTTACTTATTTAAAGCTACCAAACATCAAATTTTTTATAATGTTTATGTAATACGTCATTAAAATCTACAAAAGCTATTTTTCAGAAGTTTTCAGAGACCGAACTGGCTTATAAACCAGTTAGCTCTGCAAAGATCATATTTTCTATATGTAAATCTACAAATGAACATCCTGAATTCATCAAATTCATTTGAAAATGAACCACAATTGCAGTAGTTCAACAATTTCATAGATTGTTTAAAGTGAAGTAGGTAAAAAACCTAAAAGCTCTCTATAAATCCATCTAAAAATATAGATACTCCAGTTTTGAGCTTGTTTATCACTTTCCTCTATAGTTATCCTTTAGTTCAGATGACTATATCCCTTAAATATAACCCACAATCGCTATAAAGCATCTGTATTTATAGAAATCGATCCCTTATCTGTACCCAAAGAAACTTTTCTCCAGTTAAATTCCCTTTTTAACCACAAATTAAAGATCCATCATAACCACGCCCATTTCAATGGATAAACCTCCCAAAAGCGAAGCCAAAATCCCGGCCCAAAATTCAATGATAAAACCAGTTTAATTAAATGTTTTTTTTGTTGTTTTTGTTTTTAGTTTTCTGCTGTTAATTTAATCAATTCGCTTTTGTTGTTGATTTTTGCTTGGTTGTTGTTGTTTTTTATGGTCACACAATTATTGTATTTGTTGTTGTCAAATATATATCTTTTTTATATAGAAAAATACTGATATTTCTATAGCTCTAAAGATTTCCCTTAAAAAAAAAAAAGTCTGGTTTTGTATATATATAAATATATTGTATATATGTATATTGTATATAATTATTATTATTATTGTTAACTCTTTTACATTTAATTTCTTGCTCTCATTTGTAAATATATTTATGTATATAGAATATATATTTATATTGTTTAAGCTTCAGTTTTCAACAATTTTTATTTTTTGTATATATTTGTTTATGTTTATGACAAAATTTTGTTTTGTTGTTTTTCAATATCACAAGAATTTTCAATTTTCAATTTCCAAATGTGTGTGTGTAAGTGTGTTTGTGTGTTTTTAAAGCTTGTGTTTTACTCTTAACAAATTTTTTCTCTCAGTTTCTCTGCGTTGCATTTTTCTCACATTTTTCCTCAAACCCCCGCTCCCCTCCCCCTCTCTCTCTCTCTCTTAGTTTTCACAAATTAAATTTAAGCGTTGAAATTCCTTTACAAATGTTTCGCTTTGCTTCTTGATTTTTCTTTTACACAATTATTTACACTCGCAAAAAAAAAATAATTAAAAAAAATACAGACACACATCAAAAAATACACAACTTAAGCTTAATTTGTTCTTAAATGGTAGCAAAAAAAAAGAATAAAATATATATGTATAAGTATGTAAAACTTAAGGCTGCTTTCGGGGTTTATTTTTTAGTTATTTTTCTCATTTTGCTGATATGCTTGGAAGATATATGTTTTTTTGTTCCACTTATGATCCTAAAATTCTTTTAAGGTAAAACTTAGGTGCTAGTTAAAATATTAATATTAAAAGTACTTAATTAAACGACAAAAAAATAGATATATATATATATTATTTGATGGCTTAGTTAGCTAAAAGGCCAGGCCCAGTGACTGCCATAACTTTCGATATTGGTGGGATTGCTGCTCTCTGTATTCTCTCTCTGTGTAATCCTTCCTCCATATCCTTATCCTTTTCTTGCTCCTTCAGGCCACCAGGGTCAGATTCGTGGGCGTCGTATTGCTGCCCGTGGCTAGCATCAGTGGCGTCGCTGTCCTGGCCAGCGCCTGCTCCTGATCCAACCAACGCTGCAGGTGCGCCTGCTGATGATGATGTTGCTGCTGCTGCTGCTGATGTTGCTGCTGCTGCTGCTGCTGTATATACATCAGATTGTTGTCGTTGTAGACGGCATGCAGCTGCAGGTTGAGACTGTAGTTGCCACTGAGACTGATGCTGCCGGTGCTGCTGCGGCTGCTGCTGTTGTCGCTGTAGGTGGAGGAGCTGCTCTCGTAGCCGGAAACGGGTGATCCTTTGGGGCAACAGAAGCCGGTGGGTGAGAGGGCGGGCGCCGAGAAGGGGCTGAGGGGTGTGCTGCTTGCGCTGCTGCTGCTGCTGCTGTTGCTGCTGTTGCTGCTACTATTGGCTTTCGCATCGTGTTGAAACTGAGAAGGACTCCCCCTGGAGCTGACGCTGACGGGAAATGTCTGCAGGGGGCAGTGAAAGCTGGAGCTAGAGGAGCGTCCTGGTGATGCAGCTGCATAGGGATGATTGCTCCAAATGATGGGATCCCTCTGTTCGCATACCGTTGCCTTTTTCTTAAGGCGGCGACTCTGCTGCTGCTGCTTCTCGGACTCCTCCTCATCATCATCTGCATCAGCATCCCGTGCCTCCTGCTCTTCCTCCTCCGCTTCTAGATCCTCCCTATCCTCCTCCTGTTCTGGCTCATGCTCATGCTCCTCCTCATCATCCAGCAAATAGGGTTTGAATAGCTTCACCTGCTTAGAGGGCAGCTTATTATTATGCTCCTCGGGCTGCTCCGTCTCCACATCCACCTCCACATCCTCGTTCTCGTTCTCATTCTCCGTTTCCGTTTCCGGCTCCAATTTAATGGCCGCCTGCTCCAACTTACTAATCTTATCCGGTTGCACTGGCATGGTAATCACCTTGCGCTTCCTGAAGGTCAAATCCACACCTCCGGCTCCTGTGCTATGACCATCCTGGTCATCCTTCTCCAACATTTGCATCTGGCGGCGAGCGGAGGAGCCAAGGGATAGATCCATGGGGGCAGGTGTGGCCACTGCCTCCAGGCGACTCTCCAGATGATAAGCGGCGGCGGCGGCGGCGGCGGCGGCGGCATGATAGGGATAAGGCATATGTGGAATGTGACTGCTGGTGGCGCTTCCCGGGGAGCTGCTGCTCAGGATTGGCACTTGTGTTGGCACTTGGTTGTGGTTGCTGCTGCTGCTGCTGCTGCTGCTTGGATTGTTGTTGCTGCTGCTGCTGTTGCTGTTGCTGCTACTGCTGTTGCAGGCACTGCTGCTATATGGCAATGTATTGGCGCTGGTTGGGCTGGGCTGTGGCAGGGCATGGGCATGGGTATGGGAAAGGGGGCTACCATTGGAGCTAGCATTATTGCTGGTGGCCATGGCTGCTGCCACCACGGCAGCGATCTTGGCCGCTGAAAGTTGCTGATTGTTGTTGCTGCTGCTGCTGCTGCTGCTGCTACCATTGGTTGCTGGCGGCAATTGCTGCAACTTCTCCTGTTGCTGCTGTTGCTGTTGCATCTTCTCCTGCTGCTCCTGCTGCTGCTGCTGCTGCTGCTGCTGCATATGCGGATGCACTGGCACTGGCACATGCAAGTGCGGATGACCTGCCGCCAGTGGATGTGGATGCGGCACCATTCCATTGGCCAGCAGATGATGGGCATGGTGGGCTGCTGCCGCTGCTGCTGCTGCTGCTGCCGCCGCTGCTGCCGCTGCAGCAGCATGATGATGATGGTGATGATGATGGTGATGGGCCTGAGCCTGGGCATGGACATGGTGGGCATGGTGGGCATGATGCAGCTGGTGGACCAAAGGATGGCTCAACTGATGGAACACCTTAACAGGTGTGGGCGAAACGGACGAGGGTTGTTGCGGCGACAGTTGCAGCTGCTGCTGCTGTTGTTGCTGCTGCTGTTGCTGCTGCTGCTGCTGCTGTGATTGTTGTGGGGCAAGGTGATGCGGATGTTGCTGCTGCTGCTGCTGCTGCTGCTGATTGTTGGCCACCGAGGAGCGCAGATTGGACTCGCATTGCAGCCACTTTTGTATCTGCCGTCGATGGATATTGTACTTTCTGGCCGTGGCACGTTGGTTTCCCTTGCAGTCATTGTCATTGCGATATGACTCAAGGACCTGCAGCTTAAAGTGCGGCGTAAAGATGCGGCGGCTGCCCATTTTGGGGCTGCCACTGCTATTGTTATTGTTGCTGCCATTGTTGTTGTTGCTCTCCGTGGCGGTTGCATCCTTGGGCCGCTTGAAATTCAAAGCTCCGCTGCCGTTGATCAAACTCTGCTCGCTGCTGCTGCTATCCATCTTTTAGAGTAGTTTTTTGTTCTGTTTTTTTTGTATTTTATTTTTGTAGCGTGTTTAAAAACGTTGAAATAGCAAAAATATATATAATATATATTTTTTGCGCTTATAAATTTTGTTGTTCTGTTTCGTGCTCTGTTCTTAGGTGCTTTTATTGTTGTTGTTGTAGCTGTTAATGCTACTTGCGTGCGACGCTTGCGCTTTCATAACTCGCGATCTGGCAGCTCTGTTCCACACGACAGCAGCGACGTCGACGGCGACGCTTACGGGCACACACACTCTCAAAAAAAAAACTCAACTCAACCTCAACCTCAACTCGATTCGATTCGATTCGACTCGCACACGCTCGCACTTTGAAAATATCCGTTGCGTTTTTTTATTCGTTTCGTTTCGTTTCGATTTGTTTTTTGTTTTTTGCTTTTTACTTTTCCAATATATTCACTGTTAAAAAAATATATAGTGCATGCTTTGATTATATTGCTTTGCCAGCGCAGTTGTTTGTTAAGTTTTTGCCTGAGTTAGTGTTCTCACTTCGTTCTCATAACTCGCGTTGCGATCCGCACGGCAAGGAATCCAAAACACAATTGTTCTGCCCTCGGCGTTCTAGTTCGAAGATACGTTCTAGACTGCCTCGCTCAGTCGCTGCCTCTGTCGCTGCCTCAGTCGCTGTCGACTTCGCTCGTGCTCGTTCACTCACACACTCACACACACACACACTCGAACACAGCGCCGCCTTTGCTGCCTGCCTGTCTGCCGCGCGTTCGTGTGTGGGTGTGCGTGAGTGTGAGTGTGAGTGAGAGTGGCTGAGCCAGAGAGAGAGAGAGACGCGGCGCAACAACAACGGCGCCGAGCACTGCAGACAAACTGACGACAATCGTCGGCGAGGTGTCTGCGCTTCCAATGTGTGCGTGTGGAGCGAGCGAGACGCCAGACCCCAGTGGCCGTACCCGTTCTTGCTGTTGCTGTTGCTGTTGTTGTTGTTATTACTGCCGCGGCGCTTTTGTGCGCCGTGTGCTGTTGTTGTTCTTGTTGTTCTTGTTGTTCTTGTTGTTGGTCGTGCACGGTGGGACCGAATGGACAGCAGGGGACGGACGCGCACCCCCGCCCCCCTTGCGCGGCAACCCATTCCATATACCCATTCCGGAGCGCTGCCACAGTCACCCGACGACTCGACTGACTAACTGACAAACACCGCGGCGGCGGAGGTACAGTGGAGCCAAAGTCTTTTGAATGTCGAATGGGGAAGGGGAAAATGAATTTAAAAAATAGTTTAACTATTTTTTTAACCCTTGTGGGGTATTATAATTACAATCAGGAGCTTAAAAAGTAGTGAACAAATCATTTAAGACCCTATAAATCATATATATTCTTGATCAGCTTCAACAACCGAGTTGATCTAGCTATATCCGAACAAAATTTAATTTTTTCAAAATTTTTCAAATTTTATAAGGCTTAAATTGTTCAAATTGAAAACTTAAAAAGTTGGTAAAAATTTGAATTTTTTCAAATTTTAAATTGAGTATGTAGATTTATTAACCTAATAAAACTAACATAGGACAGCTTTCCGAATTAAAATTAATGCTTTTTTGGCCTAGTTATAAGTTTTTTAACTTGAATTTTGTCCCAAAAATTGTCATATAAAAATATAGATAAATATTAAATCATAAAATAGTATTTTAATTTTAGTCAGGAGCTTAGAAATGTTGTGAAGAAGTCGTTTCCGACCCTATTAACTATATATATTCTTGATCAGCACGAACAGAAGAGTTGATCTAGCTGTGTTCGACCTAAATTTAAATTTTCGAAATTTTGAAAATTTTAAAGGGCTAAAATTTTTAAAAATTATCAAAATTTCACAAATTTATAAATTAAGTTAAGTATGCAGATTTATTAATCTAATAAAAAACAGGCAATGGCAAGCTTTCGGAATTAAAATAAATGCTTTTTTGGCTTAGTTATGAAGAATTTTCTTTGCAAGGATATAAAATTTTGGTTTCCCAGAATTGATAAAAATTTAAAAATTTTAGAAATGAAGTTAAGTATGCAGATTTATTAACTTAATAAAAACTAGCAAAGCAAAGCTTTCCGAATGAAAATTAAAGATTTTTTCGCTTAGGTATGAATAATTTTCTCTGTAAGGATATATAAATGAAGAATGAAGAATTTCTTTGCAAGGATATAAAAATTTTGGTTTCCCAGAATTGATAAAATTTCACAAATTTTAGAAATAAAGTTAAGTATGCAGATTTATTAACCTAATAAAAACTAGCAACGCAAATCTTTCCGAATGTAAATTAAAGATTTTTGGCTTAGTATGAATAATTTTCTCTGTAAGGATATATAAATGAAGAATGAAGATATAAAATTTGGTTGCCCAGAAAATCTTTTATGATTTTACATTGTAAAACATAAATTTTATACTCAAAACCTGCAATATATTAAATTAAATAAATAATATCTTCCCCTTTGAATGCCCTTTAGCGAATGCCCCTTTATGTTCGCTTTGGCCCCACTGTGCTGCGACGACGTTAGCGACGTTGCGGTTGCTGTTGCCGTTGCCGTGTGTGCTGTGTGTGGTGTAGTTGTTGTTTTAACTGCTGCCTGGCTGCGCTACAAATTCGCTGGCTCTGCCAGTTTTTCACACACACACACACACGGGCACACTAGCACACGAGCGCTAAGCAAGTGGCCGAGTGTGTGTGTGCGCCAGAGTCGTGGCTGCCAGACATTCTGGCACTGCCACTCCACGCCCTCCCCCTGTGGACCCCCACCCCTTGGCACTCGCTCACCCGCTCTCGCGCACGACCGACGCAACAGATCGTCGTTCGAACTTGTTGAGCGCTCGAGAGCGACAGCAGCTGCTGCTCTCTCACTCTCTCAAATCAACTGTTGAATGTGCAATGCAACGAGCGCTGCATTTGTTTTTTATATATATTTTTACACGCACACACACACATGCATACGGACATTTCCAACTATCTTCCTTTTTTTTTTTTTTTTTTTTTTTTTACTCGCTGCTATGGCCGTGGGTGCATGTATGTACATAAGTATGTATGTAAGTTTCTGTGGTACATATATGTATGTATGTATACATAGCTTATTTCTGTCGACGTTGCCGCCGTTCTGTCTAAGCTTGAAATAAAAAATAAAACAACAACAACAGCAGCAGAGTGCAATATAAGAACAACAACAAATAGTGCCCCGCACTTGTTGCAAATGACAAACGAAAATTCTGCTGCTGCTGCTGCTGTTGCTGCTCTTCGTCTAGCAGCGTTCTTCATCTTTGGATTCTCCTGCTTCGGCGAAAATCTGGAATTCATGAATGAAACACATATGCACGCAGTCACCTCTCTCACTCGCTCTCTCTATGTGTGTGTGTTGGTGTTTGTGTTTCGGGACAGTGGGCAGCTTTGCTTGCGTGTGTATGCAAATTCATAAATAACAAAAGACAAAAAAAATAATAAATAAAAAACGACAACAACAACAACAAAAAAATAGAGTGTGTGGTGAACATCAATTTGCGCGTGCGAGATGATGGGGGAGAGCAGGGGGGGGAGCGGAGATCTTTGAGTCACCTAGCTGAAAAAACGATGATAGATCTTCGGGACCCGAAATGATTCCCACGTCGCTGCTGCCCCGCCCCACTGTACGCCCTACACTATGTGTGACACACCGACGACGGACTGTCTGGAAGGGAATGGAAAGATCAAGGAAGAGCAACAGGGATGGCAATACAAGATGGAGCCTGAAGAAAGGATGAGAAAGAACGAAAAATAAATTGTACACTGAGCAAAATAAGTTTACTCAGAAAAAGCAAGCCACAAATGCAAGACACAGAGAGTAGAAATAAACAAGGATTCAGTACACTGAAAAAAAGGCATACAAAACCGAAGTTCAAAATATATTTAAAACATAAAAACTTAATCAAACGAAGCAATTTTGAAATAACTTTTCAATTGTATCCCTAAAAAAAGGATATTTTCACATTCTTTTGCATATATGAAGAAAAATAGCATTTTTAAATTGTTTTGGCTAATGAAAAATATTTTTAAAAATATCAAAGAAACAATTTTAAAAATCTTGAACCAAAAATAAGGCGAGAAAAATACATTTTTGAATTGCATTTCCAAGTAAAGCGGCCACAAACAACCCAAAAATATGCCGAAAAAAAAACACCGCACACACATAACATATATCCACAGAATTCAACCGACAAAAAAAGTTCAAAAGCAACACACACACACACACATATATATACATTTACAATCTCACATAAAAATCAAAAGAATTCCACTTTTTTTTTTTATTTAGACCCCGTCGGCTTCTAAATCGATTTATCAAAAAAACAAAACAAAAAAAAAGAAGCGGAAAAGACGAAGGCAAAGAGATAAAAATTGAATATAAAAGGTAACGTAAAAATCGAAGAAACCTATACACACACACACACACGCAGACACATGAATTGATTAAAAAGTTGAAGAAAAAAAAACAAGTATAAAAAATTGGGAAAGGGAAAGGGCGCGGCAGCGAAAAAGGAGGAGGCGGAGAAGGAGAACGACGTGCTGGGGCACTTATGATCTCCGATCGTGGCAAGAGAATGTGGAGAAGGAGGAGAACGAGAAGGAGGAGGAGGAGGAGGAGTAGAAGGAGAAGGAGACCGAGGAGCAGGGCCTCAGGTTGCTTTTGCTGACCGACGCTGCCGCCGCGCTGTCTGCGTTTGAATAAGCCCACACAAACAAACGCCGAACGACAGAAGGAGATAGAAGATACGAGAAGACGCGAGAAGAACGAGGCAACGCAAGGAAAGGCGCGAAGAAGAGCTCCACAAGATTGAGCTTCGAGAAGAAGATGAAGAAGAAGCAAAAATGCGTATCCTGGCAAAATCAAAAACCTTCATATACATACAATATATCCTTTATACATACATATATAGAGAAAAACAGTCATTCTTCTACAAAGTCAGGGTTTCTCTTCTAAAGTAAGAAGATTCTTCTTTAAGCTCAAAACACCAAATACTTGCAAGGACTCTTAAAACTCAGTTGAAGATTCTAGAAGACAGAAGGTACTGAGGACAAAGATAGAGATCTCTAAACAGTTTTCTTTCTACAGACGAGTTTAGCTACAATATCTTACTAGATCCTATATAGAATTCTTCCTCACAATCTTATTAAGTCTTCAATAGCTTTTACTACATTCTTTTACCTAGTATGTCCTTGTCTTCTACTTAAAATACATATGGTATCCAAAGAGTACATATTTTTAAAAGCAAACAAGCTCCCAAAACCCCAAGGATACTGTTTTGACTTTCTTCTGAAGCTTTAATCTTCTAGATGCTGATGAAAAAGATTGATTTAGTTTGATGATTGAATCTTTGAGCTCATAGAACTTAATGAATACTAAATCAGTGGTACTTGTTTAA